AGAGGCCGAGGAAGTCACTGTGTGTATTGGGTACAGATGACTTGAGTATAAGTGGCTGGTACAGAGGACAACAAAGAATGTCCTAGAACATATGGGTTCAGTGAGGGGCAGGTGTAGCCCTGACATCAGAGCTGGGGTTTCCTGGCTGCAGAAGATCCGGATGGATAAGAAGGGCTTGCACCCCACCCCATGCTACATGGGGTCTGACACTCACTGAGATCTCTGTACACCTTTGGGCGTGCATTCTCTCAGCATCTCTGGCCCAGAAAGCTTGCTTCGCCTTCCCACATCGGTGCCTCTGTACAATGACCACGATGTGGGACTGTCCCATGGCGTCATTTCAGTAGAAACAAGCTGTTCTCATAAGGCATTTATTTCCATTTGCATGGCTGGCTTTATGGAACATTTGGTGAGAACAAAGGAAGGGCAGTACAAATAGCCCCAAATGGGCCATGACTCAGCTCTCAGCCACCCCACAGTGAGGGTGTAGGGGCCACTTCACCCCGTGGGTTCTAGCCTCAAGCCACCTTGCCATCTCCCCTTTGCTCTCCCCTCCCCTATCTGTCTTACCTCCGATATCAACTCTAAATTCTCCATCTTACAGTGGAGGAATAAAAACGGTCTCTGGTTCTTTGGTGTTCCTCCCCCTGAGAGGTTGGTGGGGTCTGTGTTCCCTCCCCTGAATCAGGGTGGACTTTGTGACAGCTTGGCCCAGCGGAGTATGGCAGATACGACACTGTTCCAGTTCTGGGCCTGGGCTTTAAGAGGATAGGCTCTTTCTGCATTGGTTTCTGGGAGCCCCCAACTGCCATGGTTTAGCCTGGGGGTGAGGATTCATGTGGAGACTGCAGGGAAGGCCCAGCTGATGTCCTCATCAGGTAACCTGTGTGGGTGGAGCCATCAAGGACCCTCCAGACCAGCCCTCCTGCCGGCCAAATACCCATGAACCAAGCCGGCCCCATGGGGAGCAGAAGTGATCAGCGCAGCCCTGCCCCAATTCTTCACCTCCCGTTGGAGGCAGAAAATAAAGTGGCTGCCCCAGGCCACTGTGTCGGGTAGTTGGTTATGCAGAGAATGCTGGCAGCTAGGCTATCCCCCAGCAAAAGCACTAAAAAGCCACTTCAGGCCCCAGCTCAACCCCCAACACCCACTGAGCTCCTGAGCAGAAACAAAAAAGATCTTTTGTAAGAACATAAAGGCCCAGGTGCCTCAAGGGTAGGTCGTTTTTTCTTGTTTTTTTTTTTTCTTGTTTTTTTTTTTTCTTTTTTGTTGCTGTATTCTAGCACTTGGAGCAGTGCCTGGAGGAACTTGAACGTCTGTTGAATGAATTCCTGCAGTGGGATTCCTAGCTTTGTGGTGGCACGTGACAGGGTCCCCATCACACTCTCATCCCGTCCCTTTAGACTCACTGGCTGACTTAGTGCCCGTGGTGAACCCCACCCAGAGACGGAGAGCCGGGAACTGTGTGGCTGGGGCGCCGATGGCTGGGTGAGGGCTTTGCAGGGCTCATGGGAGCTCCCCCCCTCTTCCTCCTTCCCGCCAGTGTGTGACTTCCTCCTGCCCAGCGCAGCCCTGCAGCCCTGGTACACCGACCAGCGCTTCACCTTGACCTTGCTTTCCCTGCTGGTCATCCTGCCCCTGTCCGCCCCAAGGGAGATCGGGTTCCAGAAATACACAAGGTATGGGGCTGCGGACATTTCCTGGGAGGGACACGGCTCAGGCTGGGTCCCCACTGGCCAGTGTTGGTGGCAGGGTTTCTGTCTGCCTGGAATAGGGGAGCTGCCAGCGTTGGCCTTCCCGTGTGGAGATGGGGGGGGCGGGGAAGATTAAAAATCATACAAGCAATATATGTGTGTGATAGAAGATAGAGATAAACAAGAAAATACTGTAATGACATGGCCTGCTGCTGACATTTTGTTATTTCATTATTACAGATTTTATACGCACACACTCACGTGCCCACACAGGCACAGAGACAGACAGAGACACACACACACACACACACACACACACACACACACACACACACACACAGACATACACATACATTTTTTCATCTTGTGGTCTGTGGCTTTATGTATACTTTTGAAAAAAAAAAAGTGTATTTTTTTAATAAGTGAAAAAAATACTGGCCAAAGTATTCATACAGGTTTGCAACCGGCCTTTCCCTGTTGTGTTGAGAGCAACAATGGACTTTCCACTTTGGAAACAGAGAAAGGGTGAGCAGGAGAAATGATCTTCCCGCTGTCCCCGCTGTGCAGAGAAGGAAATTGAGGCTCAGGGCACGAGAACTTTGCCCAACACCTTGCTGGTGTGCGCAGAGCTGGCATTCAGGCTCCACTCTGCGTGGCTCCCAGGCCCTGCCTGGCAGGGTTGGTGGCCCCGTGCATTTCTGGTCATTCACCGTCTGTGTTAGCATCCTAGGCACCCTGGCCGCCTGCTACCTGGCCCTGGTCATCATCGCGCAGTATTACCTCGGGCCGCAGGGCCTCGTTCGTGAGCCCCGCCCTGCACGGAGGTGAGTCCGAGGAGAGGGCTTTTCATGGCTTCCTGGGATACTGCAAGGGGATCCTTGAAAGAAGGACCCTTCTCCACCCTGCATGGTTTGCACAGGGCCCTGGCTTCTCTCTGTGAAATCCTTCATGTTTCTGATGCCATAGGGACTAGTGACGGCCCCTTTCCTTCTTCACAATGGGCACCGTTGTTGCTAGGAAGGACCAGGAACCAGCCAAGGACACAAAAGCTCTAACTGCCACACCAGCCTAGGACTTCTAGGTTTTTGCAGAAGTGTCCCCACAGCGCGATGAGCAGCATCCAGCGTTTAGAATCAGCTAGCACATAGCACAGAACGGGAGACAGCTCTGTGTGAGTTTCCTGGGGCTGCTGGAACAAATTAGCACCAACGTGGCAGCCTAAAACAACCCACATTTATGATCTTACACTTCTGGGGGTCAGAAGCCCAAAATAAGCCCCACTGGGCTGTAACCAAGGTATTGGCAGGGACGATTCCTTTTGGAAGCTTGAGGGGAGAATCTGTTTTCTTGCCTATTCCAGTTTCTAGAGGCCACCCACATTCATTGGCTCATGGCCCCTTCCTCCATCTCCCAGGTCAGCAACACTCCTTGTCTCTGACCCCACCTCTGTAGTCACAGCTCCCTCTGACCACAGCCAGGAAAGGTTCTCTGATTTCAAGGACTCATGTGATATGTTGGGCCTAGATAATCCAGGGTGATCTCCCCATCTGAAAGCCCTTACCCTTAATCACATCTGCAGGGTCCCTTTTGTCATGTCAGGCCACATGTTCACAGGTTCCTGGGATAAGGATGTGGACCTCTTTGGGGGGTATTATTCTGGCACAACCAGGAAATCCTGATTCTATAGAGAGTGCTGTTTGCTCCCCACTCCACTATATGTCCCCCAAGGTGCCAGAGGCTGCCCCCTAGGGCTGCTTGTCCAAGGACGCTTGTCCAAGAGTGCCATAGTTCTGAAAATTCTGCCCCGCGCACACTTCAGTCCTTTCAGGCAGCTTGGACAGAGGTCAAACCGTCCTTGCATTATTGGGGGTCTATTTGCTGGAGGTTGCCTGTGCTCCCCAGCCCGTAACCTCGCTGGGAATAGGCAGCCTCAGAGAGGCATTGTGAGTTCCTGGGGGTTCCTGCTAGCCATGCCCTACCCGAGTTCTGCCTGCACGGAGAACGCGACGTTACCAAATGTCAGCACAGATGTATTTCAAAAGCGCACCATTGAGCATGCATCCTTTCCCATTTCCCCAAACCTGGTAGTTGATGCAATAATTAAACATATTTTACAGTTGTGCCTAGTTACACCTTCCTGGTATTATTAAAAACCCATCTTCAAGTTGAAGGTTTTGAGTTTAACTTTTTGTAATCAGCGCTTCTCATCTCTTTGTAGCCCTTCCTCCTGGACCTCCGTATTTAGTGTCTTCCCCACCATCTGCTTCGGATTTCAGGTAATCTTAGTATCTGTGTTAAAGAGGGTGGCGTTTGCAGGCTGCGGTGACTCCCAGCTCCCTTGGGAGAGTGTGGCGTTCCAGTCAGAAGAGAAGTTTGAAGACTTGTTCTGGGTTTTGACGGGCTGTCTTCCAGAGACTGTGTATGAGGGTTGGTCCCTGGGCTCCATGAGGCGTGTGTTGCCATTGAACTTGGGAGCCTGGTCGCCACTGACAGCCAACAGCAGCATTTGTTGGGTCCAGGGTGGAGGGTGGGGACCCAGCACCTGTCCCTTCCTCTGCAAAATCCTCCCAGACTGTCACCGCGCTTGGAGACCTAAAGCTACCTATGTCCTCATGCAGAGCGCCAGGTGGGTTCTGCCACAGGGATCTCGGAGAGGAAAGAGCCTGCCTTGGAAGGTTTGCAGGCTAAGCAGACTGGAAGATGTGCAGGGAGCAGCATGGCAGGCTACCCAGCAGAATACACAGGATTTCTGAGAAAGTGTCATGGAGTAAGAATGGATTTTGTGTGTGCAAGCCAGCAGAGGGGCTCCTTGGGTGGGGCAGATTCAGAGACACCCTTTTTCAGGCCCTGATGCCTCAAAGGCATCTTGAAGAATGTGTGGGAGGCGGGCAGGTGAAGGGGAAGGCATTCCAGCTATAGAGGACAGCACAGGTGAGCCACAAAGGGGAGGGGGTCCCAGGTGGGCTGGAGAGCTATAAAGGTCTCAGCTAGGTGGACACTCCATGGGGTGGTGCTCCCTGCCTTCTGTCTGTCTTGGGGTTTTCCAGGTTCCTAGCAGATGGCAGCTGACTTCATTCTTCCATTGTTTATTTTGGGAAAGATTTGCCTCTCTTCTAAAAAACCCACCCACCACACCAAGGATGAAACCACCCCAAAGCTAAATCAAGTTTGCAAGGGAAAGTGGTTCAGGATTGACACTACCTCAGCTTCCTAGCCTGAGTTTTTCTTCCTGTCTTCATCAACTAGCTCCTGCTTCTGTTCTTCATCTTGCATTTTCTTGGAGAAACGTTTTCGAAAAAAATCCTGAAATGGTTCCATTTCTCTTCCTTATAAATGAGTCGATGGTATCGCTGCTGGGGCTTAGCAAGTCGCTCACAGAAAATTTCTCACATTTCTTCTTGCACACCCAATATTTTGGAAGATGTAAAGCAGTGATTTTGCTGTCAACTGTTTGGATGTCATTTAACCATCCCTCTCTCCTGTGCCTGAGCACCATATGGTGTGACGGGCTCACGCTGGGGGGTGCGGTGTGGGGTGGGCTGCTTTCCAGATGCTTACAAGGCGGTACTTCCCTCACCTTTGCCTTAGCTTTCTCATTTGATTCTCCTAGCAACTGAGGCCTGGGCTGTAGTTTCCAGAGACATGGGATGTGGTGATGGGGGGAGTTGGGAAAAGATGTGAATTGAGGGGTGCAGGTAGCACTGAGGCCAGAGAAGGGGCTGCCAGGATCTGGCTTGGAGCATCAGGGATCTGGGGGTCTGGGAGTCGGGGGAGAGTAGATGTAGATGAAGATGATAAAAGGTAGGGGTAAGGCTGGAGGGGCTGTGTGGGGACAGAGGAGGTCACCTGTTGTCATCAGAAGCTGTGGTTCAAACACCACCTCCTGCCACATTTAGCAACTGGGCACCCCCCTCCAGCCTGCACAGAGTTGGTAAGAGGGGTCTGGGGGGAGCCAAGGTGGGGTGTGAGCTCGGCTTCCAGACACCCTGGCCACATTCGGGCCTTCTCTGTGGTTGGCGTTTTAACCCTTTGTCGGGCGCAACTGATCTCACAGATTCATTGCACGCAAAATTTCGAATATCTGACAGTTAAGTATCGTGACTCATCGTTTCCGTATCTTCCCCTCTACTGTAACCTACCGCCAGCCGTGTTTGCGACTTAGTACAGTAAAGATGTATTTCATAGCGACATCTTTCATTGTGTGCAATGAATCTGTAAGATGCACCCAACAGAGGGTTAAATAGCGTTATTGACATATAACTCCCATAGCATACATTTCACCCATTTAAAGTGTATCATTCAGTGGTGGTTAGTATGTTCACAGATTTATGCAACCATCGCCACAGTCAATTTCAGAACATTTAGAAACCTGTACCTACTACCAGTCACTCCCCATCCCCCTTAGCCTTTCCCCAGCCCCTGGCAACCACAAATCTTCTTTCTGTCTTCAAGGATTTGCCTGTTCTGGACATTTTGTGTCAGTGGAATCCTGTGATATGTGGTGCTTTGTGTCTGGCCTATCCCATAATTCCCTTGGGATCATGTTTCTGAGGTTCATCCACGCTGTAGCGTGTGTCAGTGCTTTGTTCCTTTTCATGGCCGAATCATATTCCATGGCGGGGATGGACCCCAGTTTATCCGTTCGTTAGCTGGTGGACATCAGTCTTTCTCCACTTCTCAGCCAGTATGTGCGCCTCTGCCCTCCATTCCTTCCCTGAGTGAGTCGTGCGCCTGCACGCAGCCAGCCACCCTCACAGACGCTCTCCCAGGAGGCAGCCCTGGCCTCGGGGGATGTGCTTTTATTTCTCCTATGAAACCAAGAGACACTTACCCGGGAGTCTTAGGTCAAACTGAGGAAGAAAGGCAGGGCTCCCTCCAGCCACCGCCATGCATTTTCTCCATGCCTGAATTTGGGAGACAGGAGGCAGGAGCATTGATCCATGAGGTGCCACGGCCTGTTGGTTGAGGGTCCCCAGGGGCATTAGGGCCCCCTCTGCCTGGCTGAGCCGGCCTGCAGATGATTGGGCTCCTGTGAGGTCAGAGAAGTCTCGGGGCAGGAGACCAAAGATGCACTGGTGCCCTGAGGCTGGTCTATCCTCTCACCCCGGGCTGGCGGCTGCCATCATAGCAGCTGGCATCAGGAGAATGTGTGCTCCGTGGGAGTGGGGACCATGGTGGGCTAGTCTATGTGGTACCCCAGACTTGCACTGAGTCAGACCGGCAAGCATTTGAGTGCCAGAGAGCTGGGGTTGGATGGAGGGTATCCTGTGGCTGCAGGAGTGTGTTAAAGAGACGGGTAAATGACTAACCCCTGGAGCATTCTTCAGCTGTGGGCCAGGCTCTGTGCTTGGCATGAGTGAGGCAGATGTGGTCCTTGCCGTCGCATAGCTGGCGGTCAGATACTGAACAGGCAAACCCAAACTTGCACACAAGGGGAGTGGGGCATGTGGACACGTGAGAGAGGAGCTTGGCCCAGCTGGGGAAGCCTTCCCTAAAGGATGAGTCGGAGCTGGTCAGGCCAGGAGACAATCCCGGGTAGAGGAAACAGCTCGAGCCGAGGCCCCGAGGCAGCACAGAGGGACAGCGGTAGACTGAGCACCACGAGTGAAGGCAGTGTGACCCTTGAGGAACCTGGAGAGGGGGTGTGAGCAGATCAGCACGTTTGGTGAATAAGTGGACGTGATGGTGGGGACCCTATCTCAGGAGCCTGGGGGAGACCCCAGAACCCAAAGGGTATCTTCTAGATACAGCAGTGCCTTTCAACCCTGCCTGCACATTAGGTTCCCATGGGCTGCTTGTAGGACGTCACTGCCCAGGACCTGCCCCTGATAAATAAAGTCCCCATCACAGGTGGGCTCTTGGCATTGGCTAGATGTATTTTATATTTAAAAGTTTTATGACAATATAATAAGTACATATAAAGTATATAAACCATAAGTATGTGTACCCCCGTGTAAACATCACCCCAGTCAAGATATGGAACATTGTCAGCCCGCCTGGAAGGCTCCCTGACATTTTCCACTAAGTGGCACCCACCCCACCTACACCACTATTCTACTTTCTGTCACCATAAATGGTGGTTCTCAACTGGGTGGTGGTTTTGGCCCCCAGGGGACATTGGGCAATGTCTCGAGACACTCTCCTGTCCCAGACAGCTGGGGGCAAGTGTTCCTGGCATCTAGTGGGTCAAGCCCAAGGATGCTGCTCAACATCCTACAATGCACAGGACGGCCCCAAATGTCAGCAAGGCTGTGGTCGAGAACCCCTGCTCAAGCTTGTTTGGTTTGTAACTTGACCTTCACATGCATGGAAGGGTTCTTTTGTGTCTGGCTTCTTTTGTTCAGCATTAGCGCTCTGAGGTGCTTCCATGTGGAGGCGTGTAGTGGGCTCATCCTTTTTCAGTGCCGCGTAATATTCCACCACATGAATATCTGGTGATTTACTTATGCCTTCTATGGTTGGTGGACATTTGGATTTTTGCCTGTATCTGGGGACAGTGATACTTTTTAGATCGCTCCAAGCGATTCTTAACAATGCCCAGCTGGCCCAAGTCCCACAGCACGCCACCTCTGTCTTCCAGTGTCACGAAGCTGCTGTCTCTATCTACTGCAGCATGCGCAACCAGAGCCTGTCCCACTGGGCCCTGGTCTCCGTGCTCTCCTTGCTGGCCTGCTGCCTCATCTACTCACTGACAGGTAAGGCCCTGCCAGGGGCGCCCAGGAGCTGGGGAGGGGGTGGCAGGAGAAATGTGAATAATGAGTGTTTATAGAGAGCTTAAGGTATGCTAGGTGCAGTGCTACACAGTTAGAGTACCTTCTGTCGTTTCATCCTTAATACCCATAGAAAAGCCCCCATTTCGTAGATGAGGAAGCCGAGGCTCAGAGGGCTTCCATTGCTTGTTGAAGGTCTCCCGACTAGACGTGGCAAAGCTGAGACCCTAACCCTGGCCCGGCTGTGTCTGAAGCCCCTGCTCTTACAAATTGTGTCTCCTGCTTGGCATTCTCTGATGGGATGGTGATAATGATGGTCATTGTAGCATTACATTTGAGTAGTAGTTTATAAAACACTGTCGTGGATTCCGTGGATTTGGGTATTCACAACCCTGTGCTGTAGGCAGAAGGACCTTCAAAGATGATGGAAGTGTGGCTCAGAGAGGGGCTGTGACATGCCTAAGGTCACACAGCACGCCCACTTTCGTGGCCCCTTGTTCTTTTGTCTGCCCTTTGGAGCCTCTTACTTAGGAAGTCCTTGGGGCTAGAGTGAATGTGTCAGGTGCCATGGTTACCTAAGAAACTTGTTGGGTGGCCTGTCCCCAGCAGGGGAGGTTCCTGCCAGTCTGTGGCCCCTGGGTCGGAGAGTCGTGACCCGATGATTGAGAGTCACCTCCAGATGGCTCAAATCCAGGGCCAGCAGGATCACGGGACCAAAATGAGCCACAGCTCTTGGCCAGAGATGTGTGTCTCAGGACAGAGCAGGTGACCAGGATGCTGACAGACAGCACTAGGTTGTGGGGAAGGGACCTGATGCACTGGACCTGGTTCTGTGGTGACTAGCTATTTGTGTGAGTCTGTCACTTATAGATGCCTTGGGTCCCTGTCAGGAAGATGGGTGCTCTACCAGCTGCTTCCTTTGGGTGCTATTGGAGTGGGATGGACAAGACATGGAAGGATTTGCTATAGTTTTCAGAGTGCTGTGTGCTTCCAGGGCAGTGCCCACTCCGGGAACAGCTCCCCTGTGCCAACCCAGTGAGCTATTTGAAAGGATAAGCAACAGTTTCACCCAGCAGGAGTTTTGAGTCAGAAGAACAGTGTCATGTAGGCTGAGGACAGGAAAGCCTTGGGAAATGGCAGAATAGGGAACTCTTCTAGAACCTTCCATCAGCTCCTAGGTAAACCTGCCAGATGGTAGAAGCCGGGTGCTGCCGGTGTGTTGGAGTTGGTGGGGCACAGCATTGTCTAATCAGCCCTCCAGGCTTCCGTCCATCCTACCTCTCAGGTGTGTACGGCTTCCTGACCTTCCAGACGGACGTTTCTGCTGACATCTTGATGTCCTACCCGGGCAATGATGGGGTCATCATCGTCGCCCGAGTCCTCTTTGCCGTCTCTATCGTGACTGTCTACCCCATCGTGCTCTTCCTGGGCAGGTGAGCCTGGCGCGGTGGGGGCACCACTCAGCACAGGGCACTGACGTTTACTGCGATTTAGCGCACGCCAGCACTGCTAGCTGGCATATTGTAGGGACTGCCGTCAGCTGTTTCCTAGAGGAGGAAACGGGGGCAGAGAATGAGGCAATTGGCCCAGCATCACCCAGCTAGCAGTGTCAGGACTGGAGCCTGGTCCCAAGCCCACTCTTGACCACTCACCAAGTGGCCCCTCGCTGTCGGCTGCCTGAGGTGGACTTGCTCACCTGAGGGCTGGCTTGGTCCCTTGGGAATAAGCCCCTGGTGTGGAATGGGGGCCCTGCCAGGAGTGCAAAGCAATTGGGAGGGGACTCAAGGGTGCCCAGCGGCGGTCAGGTGGCCTCAGGGCTGGAGCCCCTGGGAACCTGTTTGTGCCTCCAGGTCAGTGATGCAGGGTTTTTGGAGGAGGAGCTGCTGCCAGGTATGCGGGCCCAGGGCCCTGGCCGACCCGTCCAGGCTGGGGGTCCGGATGCCCATGACCATCCTGTGGGTCACCGTGACACTTGCCATGGCCCTGTTCCTGCCGGACCTTAGCGAGATCATCGGCATTATTGGCGGCGTCAGTTCCTTCTTCATCTTCATCTTCCCAGGTGAGGCTCCCACCTCCCGGGCCTCCTGCCTGCCTGCCTATCCTTCCCCCACCCTCTCTTCGGGAAGTACCTGTGTTGGGGTCAAAAGTCTGGAGAGTGGGAGCCCCCATGTAGGTAGCATGGCTCCCAGCCCTGTTAATGAGCCAGGCATGGATCAGGGGCTTTGTACACCTTCCCTGATTAAACAGCTTAGTGGCCCTCGGTGGACGCACCTGACAGGAGTACCATTAGCATCCCATCCTGCAGATGAGAAGACTGAGGCCCCGCGGCCTTCCGGCGGGCACTGTAAGTGCCTAGCAGGGCAGAACCAACCTCACAGCGTTGCCCACCTCCCTCTGTTGCTGCTTGCTGCAAGATTTTGTTTTATTTTATAAAAACGTTTTCAATTACTTAAAATTCAAATGGTTTAGAGGCACCTCATGAGTGTCTTTCTCCCGCTTTGTCGCCTGGCTTGGGAGGCAAACACGGTTTTTCTGATGGATGGTTTGTTAGGAAACCTTCCCAATGTTAATGAGTGATGAGATGTTCCAGTCCAAACGTTCTGAGGGTCATCCCAGACTGGGAAACCCAGAGGCCAAGGTTAGAGGGTGCTTTCGGAGCAGGAGCACTGGAGGGGCCACTGATGCGCAGGGCAGACACCCCAGCTCCACACTGCCCCTGGCTCTGGGATGCGCTTACAGATGACAGCACTGAGCTCAGATGGCCTTCTCCCTTGCCTCCTGGTCCAGGGCTGCTGGTTCAGTCATGCTTCTTTGGGGTCTGAAACAAACATACAGTAAGTTGGGCTCAGTGCCCATGTCCTGGAAAGGATCGGCTAGACAGGTTTGAAATTGGGGGAGACCCCATGGAAGTTTTAGGCAAAGCAGCCTGGCTTCAAATCTCAGCAGAACTATTAAAAAATAGAGAAAGAAGAAAGACAGAAAGACAGGAAAAGATAACAATGGCAGCTGCCGGTTGTTGAATGCATCCCAGACATCAGGCATGAATCTGGCCTTGATGTCTCATCACAGAGCCCCGGTGGGGAGGTGTGTTGTCATTGTCATCTGAAAGAATGAGGCTCGGAGACGCCAAGGCATTAGGGGGGTGTTGAGTTGGGACCCCATAGCAGGACCCTTTATCACTGCACTATGCCACCTTGCCATGAGCAAGGTGAGCCAAGGGGCCACTTCGGGCAAAGGTCTTGCTGGCCTCTTGGGTCCCTGGGGATGACTGGGTGTTGACTGAGCTCTTAAGCTCAGCGCTGCTTTGGTTTTGATGATTTCCTTTGCAGGTCTGTGTCTCATCTGTGCCATTAGCGCCGAGCCCATAGGACCACGGGTTAAGTAAGTGTCTCCAAATGAGGGTGGCAACTTGGGCTCAGAGTGAGGAGAATGTGGATGATGCAGGGGCCCATGGAGGTCCTGTCGTCCTACAGATGAGAAAAATACTGGCCATGGGGGCGGGGCTGTGTCCACACAGGGAGAGGGTGTCTGAGCCAGGACCTGAACCCAGGCCGGTGACACCAGGACCTGCGACCTTTCAGTCCATGCACAGCCCTCCCTTCCACTCTGAGGGTTGTGATCTGTGGTTGGAGCTTTAGGTGGATTTGGGGTCTTCCTGGCAAAGACCCTATTTCCAAATAAGATCACATTCACAGGTTCCGGGTGGACGTGAATTCTGGGAACCATAGTTCAGCCCAGTACAGATACTCTCTTAAGTTACAGCAGCCATGGGTCCCACCTGCAGGCCAGTGCCTGTGTCTCCCCGTTCCTTTAGGTCATATCAAGCCCAAGCTAGGTTTTCCCAAATCAGCAGTGTCAGCTTGTTTCCCTGCTGGGTTTTTCTGGATGTGTCTCAGCCTGCCTTGGGCTTAGAGCTGGCCCCCAATTGTCTGAGGGTAGCCTCCTACATCGTTCATTCTCTCTAGCACTCTTTGAAATTCTGCTGTTTTTATTTTGTGCATTGATCCAAGCTCACAACAGTTTTAGTGATGGGCTTTTCGAGATACGAATTCTAGAATTGCTTTAGGGCCTTTGATCCGTCAGAGCTGCTCTGAGGGGCACTGCAGCCCCCGGTCACATTCACCTTGCTCTCTCGCTTCGGGTGGGTGGATGTTTATGGCACCAAGTTGCCGTTCTGAGAGGCTGCTTCACTAGAGATGGTTTTTCCATGACAACGGGTCCTTGTGGCCCTTGTTAATAGGGCCAGAAATATCTCTAGTGGCCCTGCCATTTGGTGGGAATCTTATTATCATCGCTCTCATCTCACTGTCTGCGCCATCTCTTCTGGTTACATTATGAAGCTCGCAGACATGCCTGGGTGGCCGTCAGTTCCAGCCACCTCTGCCTCCTGCTCACTTGTCCCCATGTCACTATTCCAGTTGTGTGTGACTTAGGGCTTTCTTCTCCTTTCTCATGTTCAAGGGGCTTCATCCTCCCACCCCAAAAAGAAGAGGCGCGAAGAGGGAGTTTGAAACTAGTGTCTTGGTTCCCCCATTTTTTTTGTCTCTGATAAAATATTGGGGAGGAGTGGGTTTATGAAGTAGATGGGAGTGAAAGGTGTTTTTAATTGCCTTGGGTACTTTATTTCCTGTTGTCTCAGAAACCCATCCCTACAGGTAAGGGAGACTATTCTGAATTTTTTCCAAATTGGTGACACGACTGGACTTCAAATGATAAGTTTTCTGCATGTGCTTGGCTTGTCTGTGCAAAACTCCAGAGAAGTGCATGCTGACGTGGATTTGCTGACTTGGCAGGTGCTGCTTGGAGGTCTGGGGAGTGGTGTCTGTGCTCGTCGGCACCTTCATCTTCGGGCAGAGCACGGTGGCGGCCACCTTGGAGCTCTTCTGAGGGGCGGCCCATCCCTGAGCAGGAGGGGGCCTCCACAGCCCACCCTGGCGTGGCTGCTTGGGTCTAGTCGTGAGACTAGTGTAATTCCATCATAAAGATGCTGGAGAAACTGATGCCTTCTGCCTTCTCAGGCTGCTCATTGGGGCTTCTGCCGGTTCAAAGGGGGGTTTCTGGTGCAATGGTGAGAAGAGAGTGAGTTAGTGTCCTGGGGCTGCCTTAAGAAACAACCACAGACTGGTAGCTTCAAACAGCAGACATTTATTGTCTCACAGTCCTGGAGGCTCAGAGTCAGAGGTCAAGGTGTCCGCAGGGCCACGCTCCCTCTGAAGCGTCTAGGGGAGGATCCTTCCTGCTTCTTTAAGCTTCTGGGGTTGCTGGCAATCCTTGGTGCTCCTTGGCGTGTCGACCCAATCACTCCAATCTCTGCTTTCATCTCTATGTGGCCGTCTTCCCTGTGTGTCTGTGTCCACATTTCCTCTTAAAAGAGTGCCAGTCACTGGATTAGGGCCCACCTTAATTCAGTATGACCTCATCCTAAATTAATTAGGGTCTGCAAAGATCCTGTTTCCAAACAAGGTCACATTCACAGGTTCAAGGGGTTAGAACTTCAACTTACTATTTCTTAGGGACACAATTCCACTTGTAACAGAAAAGTACAGGCTGAAGCCCAGAGAACCCTGTTTTGGGGTGCTGGGATCAAAGACACAGGGTGAGGGCAGTGGGTGAGAGCCTAAAAGGGGATTTCAGGCGGTGTCCGTTGGGGATATGGAGGTGGATTCAGGCTGGTCCTTGGGCCGAAATCCTGCCCTTGACCAGATGGCCAAGGAGATGCCCAGAACCGGTCACACAACCTTGTACTTGACCCACTTCCAATGGGGGGACCCCAAATAGAGCCCCCTTACCCTACTGCTAGCTGGACCTGAACAGCCAAGTGGGACGTTTGCTCTGTATTTCCCTCCCGACACCACCCCAAGTTTGGGGTGAGGAGTGACACTTGCATCTGAGCATGAGGGGACCAAGGGCCTGCCCCAGGGCCAGGGTAGGAAAAGGAGATGGGGTGGGGGTGGGGAGAAGGTCGGGGGAAGCAGACAGGGGCCCATTTGCTCCTCCAAGTTGCTGTGCTTGCCGGCACCAACCGTGCTCAGGCCCAGGGACGTCCTGGACGCTGCTGGATTCAAGCCACTCTTCCTCTGCCTTGGGACATCTGCTTGAAGCCAGTGGGGCCAGAGCCATGGGCTGACATTCGAGGACACCTCCCTCTGGGTAGGTTCTATTTGTTATCTTGTGTAACGTGTACATGACTGGGTGAAGTTGGTGGTGATAGAACTGTTTTTGTTTGTTTTTTCTAGCCTATCCACCTACATTTTTTTTTTGAGATATAATTCACATCCCATAAAATTCACCCTTTTAAAGTATATAATCAGTGGGTGTTAGTCGATGCACAGAATTGTGTAGCCATCACCCATATTTAATATCTACATCACCCCCAAAGAAACCCTGTGCTCATTAACAGCCACTCCCCAATACCACTCCCCCAGCTCTCCGGCAACCACGAAATCTGCTTTCTGTCTTTACCGATTTGCCTCTTCCAGAAAGTTCACATAAATGGACTCAAACACTATGTGGCCCATTGTATCTGGCTCCTTTGACTCAGCATAATATTTTCAAACTTGTCCATTTTACAGGTGAGGCAACTGAGGCTTGGAAAAGTCAAGGCTGCCTATCCTAAGAGGTACACAGTTAAGGTAGGGACCAACTTGGGGTTAAATTCTCGCGTCCATTTCCTTTCTACTCTACACTCTACTCCTCAAGTGGCCCAGGGAGTGGGAACTGGGGTGCCCAACCCTGGGATGCCCTCCTCCTGGCTGCTGGTGGAGGTGGGAAGTTGTGGCGGCAGGTGTAGACTCTGACCCAGTGAGGGGGACGTAGGATCCTTTTCCAAGTGCTCTGACCAGTCCCACCTCGACCTGCCACACTCTGTATACAGTGGTCACGGTGTCCTCCCAGACAAGGATGTATGTCAGGGCAGAACCACTTTAATGGAGCATTTATCACTCCAGAGCTGGCAGCGAGAATGGATAGTCAATCATGTATTAGCTGTACCCTGTGTGTTTCCTAAAAGCATTGTGGCACTGGCCAGGAAGGCTGGGGCTGTGCTGGGACCATTCATAGGGAATCATGGGTAAGAACAAAGCATGATGGGGTAAGGGTGGTGCAAAAAAGCGGGCAGTGTATGAGTTGGCTTCGGAGTCAGATTATTGCTTTTGAACACTGGCTCTGCCATTTGCTATCTGAAGATTTGGGAAGTTTACAAACCTCTTCTAAGAATCAGTTTGGCTACCAGAAAAATGGAGCAGGCTTATTGTATATGATGCGATGTGGACTGTGAGGATTAAATGTGATAATGTATCTGCAGCAGCTAGTGGGGGACCCAAGCAATAGTTTTCTTTCCAGGTTGACATTAGCAGGGGAACACCGAGCTTCCTGGAAGCCAAGGGGAAAAGGGAAATAGGATGCTAGGGCCCATCCCAAAACAGGAAAGCACATCAGGAACGAAGTGGAATGGCACTAAGTGCTAATAAGAGATGAGGGTGGGGTTCTTTAAGGGGTGACAAATATCACCCCTGGGAACAATACTTCCCATCTTGATCTATGACAGGTATAGATGTGATCTGCATAGGACTGAGCCTCAAATCAACCATGGACATAATGTAAGGACATAATGCAGTCAAATAATGCAGTCTGGGATGTCACCCCTGATGTCTGACCTGGTAAAGGAAGGTATCCTTTGGAGCTCTCCCTTGGACTGTCCTACTCTAGGACTAAGTAGCTCCCTCCAGTTTTTGACAGCAGCTAAATGAAAGGAGGGCTGACGTGGCATCCTTGAACTTCAAGCATGGGCCCTGGGTCTGACCTGAGTCTGCCTGCCACTTACCAGCTGTGTGACTTTGGCCAGGCCTGTCTCCCCTCTGAACATCCCTTTGTCCTCAGGTTGCTAATACAGGAAAAACTTAATCAGTGCTTTTTTTTTTTAAATTTTATTTGGGAACCGTGTGTTTTTCCAGGACCCATCAACTCCAAGTCAAGTCGTTTTCCTTCAATCTAGTTGTGGAGGCACAACTCAGCTCCAAGTCCAGTAGCCATTTTCAGTCTAGTTGCAGGGTGGGGTGGGGTGGGGTGGGGGTACAGCTCACTGGCCCATGCAGGAATCAAACCGGCAACATTGTCAAGAGCAAGCGCTCTAAGTAACAGCCATCTGGCTGCCCACCAGCAGCTCAGTTCGACGTTGTCTTCAATCTAGTTGTGGAGGGTGTAGCTCACCGGCCCATGTGGGAATCGAATGGCAACCTTGTTGTTCAGAGAACACGCTCTAACCAACTGAGCCAGCCGGCTACCTCAATCAGTGCTTTTCTTAACCTTGGTGTCCTTCCTCAGTCCTAGGTCTGAGGCACCCTCTTCCAGGTCCTGGAACCTGGTTTAGAGACTCTTTATTCTCCTCTAGTACAAAGCTAAGGACAGCCCCTCCTTCTCAAAATAGCCATGAGGAGGAGCTGGCCTGTCACAGGCTCCTGGTCCATGGTGACACCTGTGCTTGAGGGTAGAGACCTATATGTCTCATATAACAGCTGCAAATGTAGCCGAGTGACACTTTATATTCTAAGTGACATCTTTTGCTTGTGGTATAGGCTGCAGGGGGCTCTGTGTATCCCAGGGAAGCACCTTCCCACAGGCTCAGGTGCTTCCCCAGTAACTGCTCCTGGACACCAGCCCAGGGAGCTGCCCGCCCCAAGTGCCTAAGGAGTTGCCCACCTCCCACACAGGATTGCCTCTGAGTGCCTCCTGAGGATGATTTGGGTTTTGACCTGGACTTGGCGAGGATGCAGACTGGCTCTTGAATGCAGCTAGTGAACTTCTGCTTTGGCAGGTGAGTTATTTTTTGTTGTTGTTAATTGAGGTGACATTCATGTAACACAAAATTAATCATTTAAAAGTTGTTCCATTTAGTGCGCTCACAATGTTGTGTAGTCACCACCTCAATCTAGTTCCAAAACATTTTCATCACCCCCAGAAGGAGCCACGTGCCCATTAGCAGTCACCCTCTCTCCCCCGCCCAGCCCCTGGAAACCAAGAATCTGCTTCCTGTTTCTATAAACGATTCTAGACATTCTGTATGAATGGGATCATTCATCTGGGGTCCTTCGTGACTGGCTTCTTTCACTTAGAATCATGTTTTCAAGGGTCACCCGTGTTGTAGCGTGTGTCAGGGCTTCACTCCTTTCTATGGCTGAATACTATTCCATTGTATGGATAGTACACATTTTATTTGTCCATTCATCCACAGATGGACGTTGGGTTGTTGCCACATTTTGTCTATTGTGACGAGTGCTGCTATGAACATTTGTGCCTAAGTATTTGCTTAAACGCATCTTTTCAGTTCTTTGGGGCATATTGTATATGGATATACCCAGGAGTGGAATTGCTGGGTCACACGGTAATTCTGCCTTTAACTGTCTGAGGAACCTGATTGGGGTCTTAGTATGTTAAGGTGGAGCTGTTCCTCCTCGTGGGTCTACGCTGCGTGGTATGGTGGTTAGGGCACAGGATTGGGGGCAGGTAGCCCTGGGTCTGAATATAAGTGGTACCACCTGCTGTGTGACCTCTGGTGAGTTACTTGCCCTCTCTGTGTCTCCATCTCCCCACCTGCTGATCACAGGATGGCACAGATTGCATTGAGGGAGATGGTGCCTACCAAGTGCCTGGCACTGAAGTGTAAATTCAACGAGCGCTCTCATACCTTTTAGGGTTGAAATTTGTTCTCTTCAGAGCTTGCTTCCTTCCACCCACTCAGAATCAAACAGGCTCTAAGTGTTCGTGGGCCGCAATCAGCAGAGCTGCTACAGCGTGGGGAGAGCTTGGGTGTGAGGTGTGGCAGAAGTGGAACATGCCCAGCTGACGGGGTTCTTCGGTTGCACCCCAAAGAGCCTCAGCCTCCTGAGAATATTATTTTTAAACAGCTGAACTGATAGGAACAGTACCAGCTGTGATGTGGGGTGGGGTGGGGTGAGGCGGGGGCAGCTCTTATGCTGATGCTGCCAGCAGGACCCAGTTAAGTGGCATCCTCATGAGCCAAACGGTTCCTGATCTTCAGAGCAGGGGTCTTCTCCCCACTTTACAGCTGAGAAATAGTCTCTGAGAGGGTGGTTGCAGGAACATTCAGCGCAGAGGTGCACAGCTGGGACGTGAATCTGTGTTTTACTCTCCTACAAGCCCATGTTGTGTTTCACTGGTTTTGCATGAGCGGCTGGAATCAAACCCTGTGAGGAGGTGGCTGGGAGGTAGCAGGACCCGAGGCAGGAGAGCGGGACCTGCCTTGGGGAACAGGGGCGTCAAGGTTCAAGGCAGCCGGCAGAGGCAGGGCCTCGGCCTTGGTGATGGCTTTAGAAACAAACCACATTCCACAGGCTGGCTGCTCCAGGCTCGGAGCAGGGGGAGAGAGACGTGCATCCTTGGTCCGGCCTCCCCAGGGCGCCACCGGCCCTGACCCACTGCTGCAGGTTTACAGCCTGTCTCCTCCCTTCCTCCTCCCCAGGCCTCGGCTGCTCCTGGTTGCTGTCCCCTGCCCTCCTGCCTTCGGAGAGGGACCCATGGCTCTTTCCTTCCTTGTCCCTTGAGACTTTTTATCTTTTATGTATGCTGTCTTTCCTGTTAACCAGAACAGGGAAATAGAAGCGGGGATGTCACAAAGGTTCCAGAACAGGAATTTAAACATTATTTCAAGTCCAGGGTCTTGGTCTCCTAGCTTCTAGGAAGAGCTCATTGACAGGTGTACAGGGAAGGATTATTAACGATGCTCTGAGGTCTGGCCTTTGCACTCACCTCCTGGAAGGTGACCTCTAGGACCTTGGAATGTCCTCATAGGAGTGTCTTTGTTTACCTAGGGCCTTGGGCCCCAGGGTGTCAGCCTGATCTTCAGAGGGGCTGGAGGTCAAGGTAGCCATGCCTACATCACTGACCCCCTCTCCCCGCGCCTCCCCCACCCCGTGAAGACTCTGGTCACCAAGGCTCCGCTGAGCATCCCCGGTTGGCAAGACTCTATGCATAATGTCACCCATCAGTGCCGGGGGAAACAGGTGCCAGCTGCGTGTCTCCACTGGGAGGTAACTGTAAGCTCTGCGTTTGGTCTCTCCTGCACTATGCATCTCTTTTGCTGCCATAATGGGTGACCGTGAGTATAAAGGCTTCGTTGAGTTCCGTGAAGCCTTCCAGTCAATTACTGAACCTGAGGGTGGTCTTGGGGATCCACGAACTCTGCAGTGGGCACGAACTTATTTGTCAAAATACGTATCTCATGGTGAGCACCTCCCATTTTACAGGTGAGAAAACAGGTTCTGGGTGCCATGGTCCAGGTTTCATGGCTAAGAAGGGGTTCAGGGCCCCATGCAACCTGACGGCTTCACTCCAGCTGTTATCAATTAGAAGGTGGGCAACAAACACAGCACACAGCTGTTTCCAACCGGAGTTTATTTGGTGCCTGTCCCAGCGGCGGCTGCCTAATATGGCGCTGGCTACATGGGCTCTACTGCCGCGTGCAGACTCGGCACAGGCCTAGGTTGGGCACTACAGGGTCTTGGCTCCTATCGGGTAGAGGAATGTTGGCCAAGAGTAGAAGAGAGGGTGGGGGAAGTGGTGGCCGGCGGAGAGGTGAGTCTTTCTGAGGCCAGAGGAGGCCGGTGTGGTGGGGGACTGGGCATGCGTGGCCATTCGGTTGGAGTGAGGGTGCTGGCTCCAGGAAGCCTCCCCATCACCACAGGCCTCTGGCTACAGTAGCGTCCCAGCAGCTCAGATGCTGCTCTGCCAACAAGGGTGGGGTGTGTGTGTGTGTGTGGTGGAGGGGGGGAGAGGAGGGTGTGCCAGGGAAGGAGGTTCACCTTCACTTCAAACAGCGGGAAAATACATTCTTGTCTGGAAGTATAGTGAAAAGACAGCTCATATTCCAAAGTTTCTAGAAAAGAGGGGACGTCCTTTATAAGAAGAGAGGGCAGGGTGCCAGGCTCATCCACAGGGTGTCAGGGTGCTGGTCAGTCTCGGCCCATCGTGCACCAGGCAGCTAATGAGGGGATGGGGGAAGAGAGACGTTAAGCAGAGAAGACTGTGGGGCATGGGCAGCCCCTTCCTGTGGCCCGAAGGCTTCCCTCCCCTCCACCCTTGGGGCACATCTGCTCATCCCCTCATTCATCCGGTGCCGACTCTGGGGGTGCCAGGCTGGGGGCTGGCCTGCAAGTGGTAGGAGAGGAAGGGGCATAAAAGCAAGGCTTTGGGCCCTTTCGTGGGGTGTCAAGGTGATGTCAGTGGGCTGTGAATGGGGGTGGGGGGGGTACCCAGGGCGGGCCTGCCCAGGGGGCACTTTCTGGGCCTCTAGTGCAGGCCCCCACACTCTGGGCCCACCTCCCCGGTCGGTGCCCGTCTTCAGTCTTGTCTGAGGCCCTGTACCTGCGGCCTCTCCAGCTGTTCCAAGGCTGTAGGGCTACCTTATATCTCTGGCCCTGTCCTTCTATTTTGGGGCAGGCCTGATACTCTTGCCCTTGGTCTCCCCTCTTTGCATACCCAGCACCAATGTGGGGCACTCACTTGTGGACTATAATTCCTGGCAGCTAAGGGAGCAGAATAAAGGGTTGTTGGAAGGTTTGGGCCTTGCCCTGCCTTTGACTCAGCCATGTCTGCCTAGAGATGGCTGCTGCAGCTCCTGTGGGAACCAGGGACTGGTGCCATCCCCCACTGCTGTTCCAGGCCCCCTGCCCTGCCCTCTACCTGGCACCGAGATCCTGGAGAGGGCCTCAGGCTGGCTCAGCGTGTCCACCTTGACGTGCCGGAATGCCTTGCACACGGGGCTCTGCAGGTGCCTGCAACCCAGGGGGACACCGGTAAGCCCCTGGGACTGGAGTTCGGGCTGTGGCCCCATCCTAATTCTGGCTCTGCCTGGGATGGGGAGCTTAAACACCAGGCAGCCAATCCTGGGGCTCAGAGTCATCATGTGAACGTAAGAAAGCTGGGGCCCTGGAGCGTGAATGGCAGGTTTGGGGGCAGAACAGCCTGTTTCTTGCCTCCCAGTGAGCAATCTTAATGAAATAACTTGCTTTCTGGATTTTTTATCCCTTGGGGCAGCCATTTTCAAACAGGAGTGGCCTTGGCCTCAGCTCCCAGGGCCAGGAACCTGCATTCAGAGCCCGGCTGAGTGGGACGAGGGGGTCACACTCCACACTGAGAAATGCTGCCTCCCACTGGCTTCAGGGCACGCATCAGCTGAGGAGGCCAGCGTTCTGCCTGGTGATGCTGCTGGAACCTAGGCTCATGGTTGCCTTCCCCTCTGTTCCCCCTTCCTCCCACCCCAGGATATCGGGGACAGGGAAAGGTGCCGGGGGGCGGGAACTGGGGCAGCCACATCTCCCTGCGTCCCCTCACCTAACCAACTGCTGGCGGGCCTGCTGCTAGGGGACATGGCCGTGCTCACCTCTTCCATTCTTCCTCCGTCTCCCAGAACTCATAGACCACAAAGGTGAAGCCGTCCGACAGCCTCACGGCGGCAATGCTGCAAGGGGAGAGGAGAGGACAGAGTCAGTGGACTGGCCTGGGCCCCCCACGGGCCTGTCCCCTCTGGAACCATGTCCTCCCCTTGCGCTCAAATGAGCCTGGGCAGGGTGCCCCCCGAGCCAGGCTACAGGATCCCGTAAGGCCCTGGAAATGTGAGCCTGGCAGAAGCTGGGGCACCGAGGGGTGTGCCAGGACAGGCAGCCAGCCTGTCACCACCCGAGGCCACTACTCTTCATAACGCTGCTGCCTTCCTGATTGGAGCAACGCAGGGCCTTCAGGACCAGCCATCTAGTCTGACCAATTCATCACGTATCCCACCACCCAGAGCAAGACCTGGCCCCACACAGCGGTGTAATGTGTGTTTGTTGAATGAATTATAATGAAATGTCATTTTGAAGGCTTAATATTTCTTCCGGCCACACTCCCCTTTATAATCATCACCTCATTTAACCCTTGAAACAATCCTGTGAGTCAGAATTAGCCCCACCGAGGCTGAGGGAGGGCCTGTCCTGGGTCAGTGGTACTGCTGGCCAGTACCAGGTCACTCCTGCATTACCTGTGTGACAGCGGCAGACCACTCACCTTGTTTTAAATAGGATTAGTGCTACCTGGATGGGAAGGAGGTAAGGGGGTGCTTCCAAGAATGTGGCCTGCCTGGGGGGACAGAGGGTTGACCTCCAAGATTACAGTATCTCAAACACTGCCCCGTCTGGCCTCTTGCTTGATCTCCCGGCTGCTTCTTTTTTTCATCCGCAGAACAGAATCCCCGAACATCCCTCGAGGAGGAGAATTCTGTCATGGGTGGCATCTGCTGTATAATTACGGGCAATTCCAGGTTGTGCCACCCAGGATAGAAGTAGGGAAACAAGGCTGATAATAGTGTCATTAGTTCATTATGCTCCAGCTAAAATTACATGTGGAGCTATAGGTTTGTAATTCGATAAGAGGACTGGGGATGCATGTCGCCCACTAATCAGACAGAACCATGGCCCTTCGTCCGATTCGGAGCTGCTGCTTCCTCTCTGTGACAAAGGGCACCAGAGCAATGTGGTGCCTCTAAGCTGGGTTACTGCAGCAAGATGAAAGCAATCATGGTGATTGCATTTATTTGTTCAGCTGACGATGCAGTGGTGGGTTTTATTTGGAGGGGTGCCTCTGGATGGGCAGGAAGAGGCAGGCAGGCTTGGGGTACAGGGAGGACACAGCGTGTGAAACCCTACTGTGTGCCGCCTGTGTGCACAGGAGGGGTGGCCGGGCCCTCACTGCTCTATCCTACCCCACCCTACCCAGCCCTGAGCTGTCTTCTCCTGCCACCTTTTCTCCAGCAGTGATCACATCGCTTCTGTGGCTTTAGGAGCCATCTGCACACCCCCCACTCCCAGCTGGCCCTCTCCCAGCATTTCCGCACTCCTACAATGGCACCTCAATTGGCATCGCAAATTTGACGCAGCCCCAACGGCCTGCGCGACTCCCCCACACCGACACACCTGACCTCCCTGGCTCCTCTAGTCTCTGTCAAGTTTCTGAAGCCAGAGAATCTCGGAGTCTGCCTTGCCGCCTCTTCCCACACCCCCTTCTCCCAGCCACCAGCAAGTCCAAAACAGATCCCAGCTCTACCCATGTCGCACCAAAGCCAAGCCCTACCCCTCTCCCTGGGTGACCACAGGGCCTCTTCCCTGGCCACGCTTCTGCACACAAAGGAGACCGGACCGTGTCGCACGCCTGCATCTCGAATATGGTCCATCGTACTCCAAAAATGAGCAGGGCAGAGGTGAGTGGGTCCTGCTGCCACCCCTGGCGCTCGCCTCCCTTGTCGCTTTGTCCAGACACACCGGCAGCGTGCTTTTTCTCAAACATGGCAGCCTGGCTTCCACCCCAGGCCTCGGCACCAGCTGATGCCCACGCAGACCGCCCTTCCTCAGATTCTGCGGTCTGGAAGCTCAGCACTCAGGCCCCGCAAAGGCCCATGCTTGCAGGACCCTGCGTCCTGGCCTCCAGAGCACCCATCACCATTCAGAATCATCTTTCTTTATCCGCCCGTCTCCCGCCACCTAGATAAATGTCCAGCAAGAGCAGCCACCTGATTCACGGCCGTATCCCCAGGGCCTGGCCCCCAGCAGGCCCCAGGAAGCAGGGTGAAGGCACACGTGCTCTCAAGGTGGAAGAGGGACACTAGAGAGGGAATGTCACAGAGGCTATAGCTAGTGTCCTGGGTATGGGTGGGTGGGCCTGCAACAGGGAGGGGAAAGGGTCTGGCCACTTGTGTCATCAGCCCTCGGGGGCCACCCCCAGCAAGGATGAGGGCTGTCATCTTTTGTGGCTCACTCAGACATGGCCATGGCCATCTGGCTCAGCTCTGCCAAGGAGCAGCGCAGGCCTGTGCAGCAGGGACCAGGGGGTGAGGCCCCGAGGGGCAGCCACACAGTAAGACTAGTGGCTGACACTGAGCAAGCACTGACTAGGCACCAGGCACTGGCCTAAGTAAGCCCTTCACATTCATTATTCTGTCGACACCTCCAACAACCCCAGGGAGTGGGTCCAGTCAGTAGTCCCTCTCTACAGATGAGTAAGCTGAGGCCAGAGACATGAAGTCACTCGCCCCATTTGCACAGTGGAGAAGAGCCTGTGCTAGGACTGGAACCCCACTCTCCTAACTGCCTTTCTAGGTGCTTCCCTGGGTTATAGGGTGTGCTCAGGGGTGAGACTGGTCCTACCCTGTCCTCCACCCCCAGGCAGAGCTCCCTGCCACCACCCCACCCAGCCCCGAAGCTCACTCACTGGAAGCAGTTCCTGGTTCCGGCAGTGTCCCGCAGGTACTGTCGCAGGGAGTCCAGGAACTCGCTCAGCTGCTCAGGGCACACGGCCATCTCCTGCCGGACCAGCTGCAGGTGCTGTGGGGCCACAGGGTGAGTGAGCGTGGGCACCTGTGGGCCTGGCATCCTGCCACGCCTTGGGGTTCCTGACAGCCCTCTCCCCCTGCAGGACCCCACAGCCTCAGGGGTACAGCTCAAGACCCAGCATCCCCAGACCTCCCTTCAGAAAGGACAGGACAATTTGGTCAAAATAAAACCCCAAAAACCCATACACACAAAAACTTTTCATTCTTACACATGAAAACTGGCTAAAAAAGTACTAGAAGTTAAAAGGCCAAATGCAGGAAGTAGTCCCATAAATGCTTAAAAACAGGCAAGGGTGTTTAAAGAGGCTCTATAGACATCTGGAGCTGCCTGCAAGGCATTCAGGTCTGTGACATGACAAAATAGGGACCAGCAAAATTCATTGACAGAACCAGTGTTTTAATGTCACCATCCTGTTAATCACTTTGCTCTAGGCCAAACTTTTCGATCAAAAACCCTGATGTCGCAAAGAACACCCCTGGGAGCAGGGTTGCAGGGCCATTGAGCCACCTGCATCTCGAGCCCTGGCTTAGGCAGGGATGGTGCCAAAGGGGAGCGGAAGGGAGGCCTCAGGAGGGGATCCTCACCATGTTGGTGCCTTCTTCATCTGAGAGGCGCTGCTGCAAGTCAAACCAGAGGGTCTGAAACAACAGGGCACAAAGCGATGCTGGAGGCAAAGGCCACCTCTGTCAGGGAGACCTCTGGGACCACCACAGAGCTCCAGCCCCTCCACCCCAAGGTCCTAGGGGCTCTGGGGGCTTCCAGGGGCCAGGCCTTACTGGACAGGGCTCAGTCCACCCTCCATGCACAGTGCTGGCTCAAAGGGGACCCAGGAAGCCAGGTTGGGAGACCAACCATAGGAAGTGGCAGGGATCCCTTCTGGCCCTGGCATCTGGGGGCACCGGAAGCCACAGAGGCCAAGCAAACCTACTGCAGAGGGCACAAAGGGAGCTCCATTTTGCTGGGGGTTGGAGATTTGGGGAGAGGCAGCAATGGGGACTTGTGAATTCTGAATCCAGGATGCTGTTTTTTTTGCCACAACTGCTAGCAACCCTGAGATTCCCCCATCAACTTACAAATCACCCCCAATCTCAATCCCTAGTGCCCCCCTGAATTAAATGGTCTGAAGGGCGTGGTCTGTTTTCAATGGTCTTCCACAGGTCCTGGGCTAAAGTTTTAAATACATTTAACTTTCCAGAAACCTGAGGTAGGTGCTACCTCCCTGTAAGTTCCAGGAAAGCAGGACCCCTGAGCATGCTGCTCACGACCACATGCTGGTATCCAGAGCAGAGCCCAGAATCTCACAGATGCTCAGTGGTCACCATTTCCCAGCAGAGAATCGTGGGCTCCAAAGGCCACAAAAGATGCTTAAGTGCTGAGCCTGGGGCCTCTCTCCTGCTGACACACAGAATCATGAGTGTCCTCATGAGTGTCCTTCCTTTAACTTGGGTACCCCACCCCGACCCCCCACCATCCCTGAGGACAGCCTGAGTCTCCAGCAAAATCACACAGGCAGGTCATTCTCACACGAGCTGCTTTTTAAGGAAAACAGAGCAGATGTGTACGCCTGTGACCTGTGCTGTCACCACCTTGAAATTTTTTATGAATGTCTGAACAAGAGGCCCTGCATGCTCATTTTGCACTAGACCCTGTAAACAGCCGGTCCTAGAGAAGGTACTGGCATTTTGGGGACACACAGCGCACACGGCGTAAACGTGATTTGTAGGCCAAGGTGTGCCTGCCAAAGGCAAGTCTGTTTCCATTGTTTTACAAGGTGTAGGTAATAGGCTCCCACGGGGCAGGGGCTGCAACTGGTTCCCTTGGCTTCTCCCAGCTGGCAGAGCCACTTGAGCATGAGGGGAGAGGAGGGAAGGGGAGACACGGTGGCACCCATGTCTGCCCTGCCCTCTCCCAGCCTGGTCGCCCTAGCTTTCCAGGTTCCAGGCCCAGGAAGGGCTTAGGTTGGCCCACGGAGGGCGGGGCCCGGAGCTAGCCCCGGATTGGCTACTGCTCCCTCCCTGGGCCAATCAGAGGCTGGCGAGAAGAGACCCACCCTGTTTCCAGGACGCCCAGGTGTTCCACTGTTTCTAGCCAGCCGGTTGTTAAGGCGACTGGGGCACTAAAAATAAACTTCAAAGAGCCTCCCTCTGGAGGCGCCTGTGGAGTTGTTATGACAACCAGGCCACCGGGTCCAGGGAGCTGCTCCCACCCAGCAGCCGGCTCTAAAGGGGGCGTGGGGAATCCCACCTTGGCCTCAGCCCTGCAGATGAAATTGCTGCCGCCTCCCTATAACTCCCCTCCAAGTCATTGTCTCGGTCTCCACCTGCCCCCACGAATCCCTAAGAACTAACCCCCAAACCCATTAAAGTACTATTTTTTTTCTTTTTGCCCTTTTGCAAAAGATGTAAGAAATTCAGAAAAGTTGAGGAAATGTAAAATCGCTGCAACCCAGGGCTCTGTGCTACCTGCTATCTTGGTTTACCTAGGTATATGGGTATAATATGAGCATCTGTATAGGTTTGGGCACCAGAACCTCTAATAATAATTGCTAACATTGCTAATGTTAAATGCTAACTACATAGCAGGCTCTGTGCTAAGCCATTAAGACATTATTTTATTTACTCCTCACAACAACCCTGTGAGGGGTATGATTCTGATTATCTTCTCTATGTTACAGGAGGAATCTGAGGCTCAGAGAGGGTAAGTTACTGGCCCAAGGTCACACAGCTGTTAAGTGGATTAGCCAAGATTCTAATCAGGGCAGTCTGATACCTGACCCCACTGGTAAACATGAAGGCAACCTGTTTATCGTCCAAGAAATTGTCATTGTTATGGGCTGAACTGTGCCTTCCCCAAATTGAAGGACCAATCCTTAGCTGAAGTCCCAAGTACCTCAGAATGTGACTATATTTGGAGATAGGGCCTTTGAAGAGGTATTTAAGTTAAAATAAGGTCACATAGGTGGTCCCTAATCCAATGGCTGGTGTCCTTGTAAGAGGAGATTAACACACAGACACACACAGAGGGAACACCATGTGAGGACACGGGGAGAAGACGGCCTACAAGCCAAGGAAAAGAGGCTACATTAGAAAGCAGCCCAGCCCACATGCTGATCTCCAACTTCTCGCCTTCAGCTGTGAGAGAATAAATGCCTGTTGTTTAAGCCCCCGGCCCCGGGTATGTAGTGATGGCAACCCTGGGAGGCTGATACAGCTGTATTGTGAGTACCTACTGAGTCATGAAACGTTCTCTGAAAACGTGATTCTGTGAAGGCTGAGTCACCTTCTATCACCTGTGGAAGCACCATATCATATTGAAAAGATTGCACACCGCTGGTCACTCAGGTTGCCACTCATCTTTCCGGGGACGTCACCATCCCTCCTTACCGCCACGCTGTGTCTTGGCTCCACCTGCCCCAAGCCTGCTTAAAGCCTCCTTGAAGCTCTGTCCCCTTGCCATCCACGGCCCTGCTGACTACTATCTACTCCTTGGGCTGCCCCTCCGTGCTGCCCGCTCAGTCCTCCACAGCTCCTTCTTTCCCCAAGCACCTCTCCTCGGCCATGCACCACGGACACGCTTCCAGGGTCTGTCCGTATTATGTTCTCCATTTCCACAACCCACGGGGTGATGTCTTCCCAAGGCTCCCTGACTTCTGTCTTAACTCTGCCCTCCCTGGGGGTCTGGGGAGAGTGAAGAGCTAGAGGTGAGGGCTCAGTGACCTTACCTTGTTTTCCAGCCGTCCTATTAGCTCTGCCAAACGGCTGATCTGGGCTTCCAGGCCCTCCTCCTTGGGGTCTGAGGTGATTTGGAAAGAGGGACAGAGATGCTAATGGTGGGCAGGGCCAGGCCTGGGGGAGGGGAGCTCCCAATCTCCCCAGGGGCCACGACCTGCCCCCAGCCCTCCTACTGCCAGTTCCACTTGGGAGACCCAGACCCCATCTGGGCCACTGTCAGAATTCCTCTCAGGACCCCAACCCAGTGCCCGCCTCCCCCCAGGCCCCCCTCCCAGGCCACCACACTCACTCTCACCAGAAAGCAGGCTCTTCTCTTGTTCCGTGGCCATGAGCTTGTGGTTGGGGGCGTAGGGGGGAGTGGGGCTTCCATACCAGGTCTCCACCATGCCGTGGCCGGGTTTGCTGTGGTTCTGTCTGCAAAATGAGTGAGGTAACACACGCACCATGAGGGGGGCTGTAGAACCCTGACTACTTTTAGCAGCTTTGGCAGACATTAAGCACCGGCTGTGGGCTGAATCATGCACAGGTAACTCCATGGAGCCCATCCTGTGAAGTGAGCCTTGTGGCCTTTGTGTCACAGAGTAAAAACAAGGCCCACAGGCCGGCGACTTGGCCAAGACCATGCAGCTCGTGGGGCTGAGTCGGCATATGAACTCAGCTGTTTTCTAGGACTCCGCAGCCCAGGCCCAGTCCCCTGGGGCTTCAATTCCAGGCCCCGGCCCCTACCCAATAGCTCGCGGCTTCCCTTCCCCTCCCTGCCTGCCTCACTAGGAGCCAATGTGGTGTTTGGTGCCCTCTGGGGCCGGGGTGCGAGAGAGCTGGGTTTGTACCCTCTCTGAAATACGGATCCCTAAGAAATGGTTGAGAGTAGGCAAGGAACAGGACAATGAAATCTGTGATCCTGACCTCAGCCAGGCCCTGGAGAGAGGGGCCAGATCCCATCTCCTATCCCCCTAGTGCCCCCTACCCTGCATACTGACGTGCCCGCACGTGCAGAGCCCCGAGAGGCACTCACAGGTCACCAAGCACTGTGCCTGGTACAATAGTGGGCAATCAACCAATGCTTGGTGAATGCCTGAGCACCCAAGTGCAAATGCTGGAAAGCTCACCATAGGCACACCAATACGCACTAACATGTGTCCACATACAGCACACACACGCTCCCATGTGCATGGCCAACATGCCCGGGCCCCAGCCCCTTGGGCAGCACTGCCTTTGTGAACTTGAAAGCTCAAAAGCCTCTGCCTCTGTGCAGAATGAAAAACACGGCTCCTCTGCGGTATTGGAAAGGCTGGTGGAGTCTTTGAGGTGTCAATCCTGGCTGGAGGCAGTGGGAGTCCCTGGGGCAGCAGGGTTTGAACCAGTGGCTGGTGCCTGGGACTGGGAAACAGGATGGCCTTAGGGGACTCGAAGCCAGGAGCCAAAATAGCTGAGATCTGAGGCGGCTGGAGGTGGGAGCACATGTGGAGCAGACATGGTTCTCCACCGTGACGTGCCACTCCTGCCACCAACATTCCCAAGTAGGGACCCAGTGTGGGGGCGGGCGGGGGTAACGGCTGACATGGGATGGAACTGGCAAAGTGCAGGAAATCAGCTGTGAAATCGTGTGGCAATCTTATCTGCTCTACTGCACGATAGGAGTGGCGAGTTTTTAATTAAGATAGTGACAAAAAGGAAGGAAATCTCAGTTAAGTTTGGGGACCCTGAGAATCACAAGACTGGTCACAGATGCAAAACTCTGTGATTGTAATCCAGTGGACACGGCCTGGGGCCCAGGGAATCTGTATTTTTCATTTCCTAGGTGATTTGGCTGCAGGTGCGCAGAACAAGCACATTCTGGAAACAGTATCATCCAGCAGCTTTGCAATCACATCTGACTGGGACCAGCCCCTCACCAACCAAAACATACACTCAAGCTCCCATCCCACAGAAACCAACACTGTGCCATGCCAGGCCTCTGCCTGGGAAATCTGCAGCCACCCACCGAAATTCAAGGCTCACTAATGCTTGGGCCCAGACACCTGGCTTTTGCTCCCATCTGTATTTCGTTATTTCCCCTTATGCCAGGCATGTCAGCTGTTCTGAAAAGGACAGGCAGAGGGGAGTTTGTCTCCACTTGGGGCAGTAAGTGCGAGGGCTTGTGGCCCCCCCAGAGCTGGCACTGCTGAGCCCGAAGGAGAAATACTTCCCTCTAGATGCCAGGCTCGGTGCCTCCACACAGCACCCCCCAGCAAAGGGCGGGGGACCTCAAGTGCTTTTCCAGGGCTTCAAGGACATGCAAACAAGGCCTTAAATAACACTGAATAACACTGTGAGACAATCACTCCATTTCACGTCTCTTTCAATCCTGAGGAAGTCTGATTTGGCACTACTCGGTCTTCAACGCCTCTCTGCGGCCTCCCCAGGCTCTTTCTAGCAAAGAGGGAGCAGGCCTCGGGATCCCAGCTGACTGTAGGCAACAGCAGGTGCTGAGTTTAACAGTTACTCCATTTAGGGCATATGATGCTTGCTTTCCAATTGTGGTAACCACATGCAGTTTCCAAAATTTACTTCCAGTTTTCAAAAATGAGTCAAGCAATGGAACAGTCTTAGGCAAACAATAATGTGAGCAGTATGGGGATGGGGCAAAACCGATCAGAGTCTAGGAGATCATCGTAACCGTACGTGTGTATGTATCATATGTGTGTGCTGCATGCACGCTGGGTATTCTTCTACGCATAGATGACCTCATTCAATCTTCACAATCACTGAGGAGGTAGGTATATAATCGTCCCCATTTTGCAGTTGAGGAAATGGGGGCACAGAGAGGTGCAGCAGCTTGCCCAAGGCCACCAGTTTTCAAGTTCACAAATGTCCCTACCAAGCAGTAAGTTGGCACGTGTGCGTGTGCGGCATACCCCCATGTGACCCAGCAAGGTCCCCCGGACACACCGGATCTGGCTGGTCTGCTGTTCGATGGCCTCCACAGCACTCTCCACTGAGCTCAGCAGGGACTGGATCTGATTGGCTGTCTCCTTCAGGAGGAAGCGGGTCACAAACTGGTCCACGTTGCTCCCGCCCTCGTACACCTGTGGAGGGGAGCGAACGGCACAAAGAGTAAAGGGGTTGGGAGGGAGCTTGGGTGTAGGGTCTGGCACAGAGTTGGGGGGACACCTGGAGTCGGTGTCTTTCCCTTGCAGTGGGAAGGTGGGACCCCACTCCACTGCCTTCTGCATCTTGGAGGCTAGGTAGAGGCTGTGGACTCAGAGACCAAGGATTGAAGCCTGGCTTTACCGCTTACTTGCCCTGTGATCTCTGTGGCCATACCAGGAGTTGCTGCGCTATCTATCTTACAAGGTCATAGTGAGGGTTAAATGACAAAATGTATACAGAACGCTCACATAGTGCCTGTCACATACCAAATACTCAATACACAGTAGCTGCTATGATAAAGATGACGGTGGTGATGATGATGGTGATGGTAACGATGGCGGTGATGACAGTGGTGATGGCGGTGATGATGGTAGTGTGATATGATGGTGGTGGTGACGGTGGTGATAATCAAGATGGTGACGATGAAGTGATGAACATGGTGGTAATGATAGTGAAAGATGGTGAAGAAGATGGTGGTGTTGACGGTGGTGATGATGATGGTAGTGATGATAGTAATTAGTGGTATTGTTCTTAATATTTTTGTTGACAGGGATAAAGTATTAGGGGAGAAGAATTCAGCTCTTCTGCCCCATTCCTCCTCCAAGGAGGATTCTTTGCACCCCTGGGCCTTCACGCTGCTACTCAGAGGAATGATAAACAAAAATCAAAAGCAGCCAGAGAGCTTAAACTGGCTCCCCAAGGAAAGTGCCTGAGACTCAGTCCTCAGAGGAAGGGGCGAGAGGGGAATCTGGGGGGTGGGGGAACTGAGTGAGGGAGACTTAGAGGCTGTGAGGAGAGGAACTCTGGAGAAAAGATGGATGAAGAGCGTTTTCTACAAGTTTTGCTCTGTGATGTGAGACAGAATTTCCCCTTTTGTCAAGAGACTGCAGCGAAGACATTTCTTAAGGTTTCTAGATCCAACTGAATTTCTTTTGGTTGCAAAAGACTTTACAGTGGAAGGGAGAAGGCCCCGGTTTAGCCAGGTCACTTGAGGATCATAACAAAGTGACACCGAGTTGGGAGGTGCTGGACCCACAAATCCTGTGCTGTTCTTCTGGTCTCTTCTGCCAAGACCTGACTTTCCAAAGCCACCTGCCCCAGGGAACCTTGGAATTCTGCCCAGTTTCTGGCCAGGCAAGGGAACACAGGGCTCTCAAGGAAAGCAAATTAAACCATCCATCACTTCTGACTGGGAATTAGTTAACAATAATTGCCCAATGGGAACCATGGCTAGAGACAGATGGAGAAATGAAGGCAGGGGTGGGGAGCAGGGAAAGAGGGAGAGGGGTGAAGACAGGCCAAAAGGAGAGGCACACACAGATGGGGAGGTGTGGAGGTGGACATCCCGTGCCAACCACCATCAGGTCAGGCACTCTGGAGAGCCTGACAGGGAATGGATTTGCGGCAGAAAGTATGTGAGTCTTGGTAGCCTAATGTACTGCAATTATCGATTAGCCTTCCTCGCAGACAACTGAACTCACATACAATCTCGTGATCAATGGGCTCAGGACAAATGAATGGCCAAAATCGAACAAGAAGACGTAACGTGGTAGACAATGTAAGCGCAAAAAAGAAAGGCTGCTAGAAGCCATCCAGCAGAGAAATGAGCTGAAGAAAGTGTGTTAAAAGCACTCAGATCAGTAATTTCAGGGTGTGTCGGGTCAATAAGTGGAACTTGTTACTTGAATTCCAAAAAGACAACTTATTTTCAAAGGAGTAAAAATGTGGCTTTTATAGGTTTCTCCTCTGCCATCGTCAATGCCTCAGCTGAGAGACCAGCTACACGGATTCCAGAGGAAAAGGGTTAGATCTAGGAATTTTGCAAGACGTGGGCAAATTGCTCGTCTGCAGGATAATAGGGAGATACTCAGAAATCTGCAAATCTATGACATTTTATCAGATGATCACCTTTCCTGCAAAGAATGCCTAGGAATTTCTCCCAAATCATCGAGGGTTGAATCAGAGAGAGAATTCTTCAATAGGGAAGCTGTAAAGTAGCTGGTGATCACCCTAAAAATTAAGCATTAAGGCTACAGATGTCAGGAGATTAAAAAACATGAATCACTAATCGTGAAATTTTAATTACATTGGATTAAGTCACTAAGGAGGGTGAAAGTATGGAAAAAAATAGCCGAAAATCTAAAAATCCCTTTAATTCCACAAAAGGGACTAGGAAGTGTTTTTATTAGCTAGGTCTAAAACTAGGATTATGGCTGTTAACAGTGTCTGGTTTAGAGGCCACTAGGAGAATGAAAACCTAGAATGTTCCCCTTTGAAATCACAATCAACGCTATAAACAAAGCAGACCATTACAAGATAAAACGCCAGAGACTGAAGCAGCATAAAAACACGGGGTGCATACAAGATGACAGCAGTCAGACCACATAGATCCTAACAATAAAGAAAAGCGGCCTAAATTCCCCCACGTCAAGACACAGTCTCAGATTTGATTAAATGAGATCCAGCTGGAAGCACAGCTCAACCAAAGCATCACGAAAGGACTGACAGAGACCAGTCTGTGCAAAGATTCTGCAACCAAATTTGATCAAACGAGCAGGACAAACTGCAATATCACTATCAAGGTAGAATATAAATGAGAACGTATCACACAAGAAGGATGAGACCGTAATGACACAAGGCATAATGCATGAGGACATAACGTTATTAAGTCTTCGTGCAGTGGGAGAGGATATTGCAAAGCACGGCTATAGGGATTCAGATGGGTCCAAGCACTCTAGAAAGCAATTTTGCCTTCTACTGCGAGCCTCACGCCGCTCTTATTCTTTGACCCAGTAATCCTCCACTTTTGGTAATCTAGCCTTAAGAAAGAACGCAAAATGTGGACAGATATTTATGTCCCAATATTATTCATAATAGCAAAAACCTGGAAATCTAATCTAATACGCCCCAAGAACACAGGAATGGTAAGTACATTTAAATAAGAATATTTAAACTGATACTTCTGAACTGTTTTTAATAACACAGGAAAAGCGTCTGTGGAAATCTTAGGGGGGGGAAAAAGCAGACAATACATTTTTGTACACAGAGCCATAATATAGTAGAGAAATACACATAAAAAGGGCTCAAAGGTAATAAACTAAAACATTGATAGTGGTTAGGGAGAGTGTGAATTAGAAGTGATTTGACATTTTTTCCTTTATCCTTTTCTCTACTTCCTAAATTTTACCTATTGAATATGTACCATTTATATAATAAAAATAGTATAAGAAAGGGCTACACTATTTAATAAAAATAGTATAAGAAAGGCATCAAACAACATGGCTAAAAACATAGAAAGGAAAAAAAACATTGATATAAAGATTAAACGACAAAACAATTTAGCGTGAGATATTAGCTCATCGCTGTCCCATAGGACAGCGGGCACCAGGACATAATAATAAATAGGGATGCAAAAGGCACTGGGAGGAAAAAGTGTGGAAGTCTTTAAAATGGGCAAAAATGATCACTGGATTTCTTGTCTAGTATGCCCTTCTGGTTTATCTAGGTCTTTCCTTGTTTACTTTAAAAACTCTAAGAAGTAAAAAAAACTGATAGTAATACAAATAATTCTCACCCACAGAAATGCATATGAATTTTGTCTGGCAGAATTCCATGGGCAGTGACCAATTTTGCATTTACTCACAAATTCATTTCAAAATTCCTGGTTGCCTGTATACTCGGCGTGTGTCCTTTGAATTTTGTACTTGTCACATCTTAACTGGTCTCACATTAATGAATGAGTTAAGTAAGGCCTTTGACATGTGTGGGTTTTACTTTTATACACGAGACATGATTTTACCTTTTTACGAAGTTGTCTTTCAAAAGCATAGATTTCATAACAAAGATAGGATAGCTACTTTCAAATTTTATCTTCGGAAAGTATGATCCCCATTTTCCCAAGCATCCATGAGATAGTTATAAAAACAAATCAAGGGGTGACCTGTTATCTCAGTTGGTTGGAGCGTGGTGCTGATAACACCAAGGTTGCCAGTTCGATCCCCGCATGGGCCACTGTGAGCTGCTCCCTCCCTAAAAGACTCAACTATGCCATTGTAGCATGAAAGCAATGTGTAACCAATGACCATGGCTGTTCCCCAATAAGATTTTAAAAAATAAAACAAAAAACCCAAAAAAACAAACAAACAAATCAAATAATATGTAACGAAGAAATCGCAACACATTAAAAAAATACAGTGGAAACCTTACTGGTCATTCAGTTTCATCTGAACACCACGAAATGAGAAATGAATAAGGACATAGGCTATTAGAGAATACTAGGAGAGAAAATACTACATATTAAAATCTATGGTTACAGTGAAATTATCATTCAAAGACAAATGTTTAAAATTTCGAAGTTTATTATCAAAAAAATTTCAGCATTCTATTTCACACATGAAAAAGAATAGCAACAACAACAAACCTAAGGAAATAGGAGGAAGAAAATAATAATGATAAAAATTATAAATACATTGTGGAAAAGTTAAAAAAACTGTGAAATTTAAATAAATGTGTCGGGGCAGGTTATAAGAAACATCTCATTAAAATGGGTAAAACTCAGTCAAATGTAAGTTTTTAAAATGTAGCAAAACAGGATAAAAATTAAAACAAGAACTGAGCTGAGCTATATAAAGCAGATGTTTTATTGAACTTAATCTGCATTAAGTGCCTGTTTTGTGTCAATATCATAGATTTTTTTTAAAAATCATCAGAACATACTGCATAATTGATCATAAAACTGATCATGTCCACGATAGTTTTGTTTAAAACTATAAAATGAACACAAAAATAAAAAACTTAAGTGAAACTAGGATTGACGTTAAAATAACTATTAAAATAATCCCTGCCTGTTTAGCACCTCGACCGAAGCCTTACTGATTCACACACAGAAAATATTCACAACCACCTACAATTCATTCCCAAACTATCATCAATCCACAATTCCTGATAAAGACAGAGATCAAAAGCTCAGCTAGTGACAAGCATTAAACAATGCGATGAAAGAATAATGCACCAATTAGGGTTTATCACAGGAAGCTAAGGATTACTCCACAGGAGAGAATCTAATAATAGACTCCACCCCATCAGTAGCATAAGAAAAATCATATGATCATTTTAAAATGACCAAAAAGGCATTTGAAAAAACTCACTACCACCTCGGAAGACAGGATTTAACAAAAGAAATGCAAAAAATAATTTTTAACAGGCTGAAGAAGATTCTAAATTAAGAGCTGGCATTAATATTATAATTAGTGGAGAAATACTAGAGCAACGCACTTGAAAATCAGGAGCAAAACAAAGATGCCTGACTTAGCACCATTTTAATGTTTTAGGATTTGGGGGAAATGCAAGAGGGCACAGCAAAGAAATGGGAGGATCACGTATCAGCAATGAAGACGAGAACGACAGTGGCTCACAACTGATGCTATGACCGCATATGGACCAAAGCAAACGCGTCAACGAGCATCAACAGATGCAAGAGATGCATTTGAAATAATCAACGAGCTGCATTTCTACAAAGAAAAGGTGGTTAGAAAATACGCAAGACAAAGAAATGCTAGTTAGTCACCACTGCAACACCTACCATCACCACCACCATTAAAAATGCACCAAAGGTTGCACTCACTGAACATCACACGTGCATGATTTCTAAGAGCAAAATCTCCAGAACTGGTCCAAGTTATATGGGTAGGAGTTAAAATCCTCCCCTGGATGGAGAATTAGGTCACGTCTCTGAACAATTACAACCAAAGGCCAAGGAGAAACTATGGATGTTATCAACGGCTCAAGACAACATTGCTGAGCAGTGGCCCCATTCAAAGATGAGAAAACCCAGGCTCAAGGAGATGGTTTCCATCATGAGGGGTCCCATGTGGGCATATGGTGCACCTCACACAGCCGATCAGAAGCGGAGCCAAGGGCTGACACCCTAGTCCGGGTGACTGGGGTTCCAGAGTCTGGGGTCTTCCATGTTCCCTTCTAATTCCCCATCCGCCTTGATACTTTCAAATATCAAATAGTCTACAAGGACGAACCATGAAAGAGCGCCGGTTTTACACGTTATTAAAATAGACTTTAACATACCAAGACTCAAAATAGCATGACATGCAGACAGAAACGGGGATGTGGGTAGTGAGAGCGCAGGGTCAGTCAGGCCCAGCTATTATATAATATTTCTGGGAATGGGAAGAAAGGGATTCTCTAATACACCGCAGAGCAGTAACTGAGTAGCATTTGAAAAAACGTCCAGAATTGGTCTCACCTATGCCTGAGCATACAACAGGAGCTTAATGGTAAGAACCAGTAGTCACCTTTACTCTGTGCCAGGCTCTGTGCTAAGCAGCTTAGAGACCTTACTTCATTCAGTTCTCATGAGGACCCTGTAAGGTGAATGCTCCCATGCCACAGATGGAGAAACTGAGGCTTAGGAAGGGAAGTGATTGGCTAGGGGTCCTTCAGCCAGGTCTGGCTGACTTTACTGGCTAAGGTCCCTGGCCTCATCCAGCAGATGGGGCCGGCCTTTTTTGAGCTCCCACTGGTCGCTCACGGTTGCTGGTAGGCTGTGGTACCTTGGGTGTCTAGGTGCCCCTCACAGCATGGCCCGCTTCCAGCTCCCTCCCTGAGTGCCTTGGTCACTGTGCCCAAGCAGCAGCCCCTACGCCTGGCTGACTGACACTGCAGTCACCCCTGGGAGGGCTTGGAGTCCCATGTTGTGCTCCTTACCTCTTGGCAGGTCCCTGATTCAACCAGCAGGCATGGCTGTCTGGCTATGACTCTGCAGGTTTACCCTTCAGAGCCTCTGTCTTCATATCTATGAAATGGGGGAACTGAGAGTAGCCACCCATAGGGTTGCTGTGAGGATGAAACTGGCCATCATAGGTCCTCAGGAAATTTCCTGTGTCTCTCCTCCGTGGATGCAGAGAAGGAATGCACCCTGCCTAGCCCCTGGAAGACGCCAGCCCAGTGGGAGTATAGACTCAGAGGCGGGAGATGACGCTTCGGGGATGGGCTGCTTATGCGCATCCAAGCCATCACGGAGAAGGTACAATGATACCCAGCCCACAACCTGCCTTGTTTCCCTGCCTTCTGTCCTCCTCCAGGCCATAAATGCAAACAAGGAGGTGACAGGACTGCAGGCAGACTTTGGAGCCACATCAGAGACCTCTCTCCAGGACAGCTAGGAGTCCCTGCACTCTGCCCCTCCCAACATTCCTGATGGTTCCCATGCCCAGCTCCAGGCTCCCAGCCTGGACATGTGTTTTCATACCAGACACCATCCGACACCCTGGTCAAGGTCAGATGTGTGAACCCTCCCCTTCCCATCTCGTAACCCTGTTGTCAAAGGGCATGAGATCATCAGGTATGACACTGGTCCAAGGACCCCGGAGGGCGCGGGGTGCCTGATGCTCCCTTTCCAGGACTCCGTCCCAGGACCATGCCCAGTTCTGGGAAAGGGCATCCTCCCCACCAGCCATCAGACCCTGGGTGGGTGGCCATTCACGGAGCCGCTCTACTCACTTCACAGTTTACCTCAGCTCCCTATAAGAGCCCCAAGCAAAGCCCACCTGACACCTGTCATCACAAATCCAGGCACGCTTGGTTGAGGAGGCCCCGGAGAAAATCTGGAACCAAACCAGCACTCAGGCCTCGGACCCCCACAGGCTACCGACACCCACTGACCTTCTTGGTGTAGCCCATGGCCTTTAGGACAGAATGATTCAAGGTTTCCAGGGAGGCCAAGACGTCCTCATAGTCCCCCATATGGTCCACAAAATAATCTGGGGGGAGAGGAAGCAAAGGTCAGGGTCATAGGAAGATTCTGAGCCCTCCCACCAACACTACCTGTGTCCCCCATTGCCTTTCCCCAGTCCCATCTCCCCCTACACCCCACCCTTGGTCCCTGCATCGCTGGGCACCTACCACACAGCTCCTTGGTGTCCACATGGCTGCAGAGAGAACGAGGGAGAAGGGGACTCAGAGGCAGGCCCGTCCCATCCCCCACCCCTGCCCTCCCTCCGCAGCACGCACAGCCCCATACAGCAGGTAAAACACCTGCCATGCCTTCTCTCTTCATCCTATGCTCTGACACCATGACCCCACTTTACAGGTGAGATTGCAGCAGTTAAATGGCACCGTCCCCTCTGAAGGACCGAGCAGGCATCCATGTTTGCACCTCTGTCTTGACCCCATCGCCACGCCAGCTACTCCATACCCTTGCCCAAAGTCTACTGACCGCATGAGCAGATGGGACCACGGATGGGGCTGAGGCAGGGCCCAGGAAAAGGGAGAGGAAAGGGATGGGGGCCGGGGCATGACTATCATAGGCTGAAACAAAGCTCTCACGTGACACGCTGCCCCGGGGCATTCTTGCCTGTTGGGTCCTGGGACCCAGGCCCTGGGACAGCCCTCCCTGTTCTCACCCCAGCCCAAAGGTCTGCATCCCCATTCCTACAGTGTGGATGGAGAAGAATCCCGTCCTTCCTTGGAGGAGACTGAGCATGAGAATGCCAGCCATGCTGCTGAAGGTGCACACAGCAGCCTCAGAGCAGAGATGCAATGGAGGAGAGTGCCAGGGGTGGGCGCCGAGGGACCTAAGCGTTTGTGAGGTTCTAAAACCTTCCCTTTCTGGGCCCCAGTTCCCTCACTGAGAGAGGAGGGGGCTAGACTAGAACAGTGTGTTCTGTGCAGCCCAGGTTCAACAAGATGCTTCTGGGAAAAGACTCCCGTGGCGGATTCGGTTTGGGTTCAGAGGCTTTGCAAGCTCTGGCTTGGGGACTCCCCTAATTTGCATCGTATAGTAAAAGTTCTGACAAGTCTTGCAGAAGGGAAGCTGTTTCATTGAGCTAAAAGTAGCATTTCACCAATCTTTCTGACCCGGGTGGATTGTTTGGGGGCAGAAAGCCTATTTAGCATACCCAGGAGCAAATGGTTACAGCTGCATTCTGGGGAATGTGGGAGAAAAGACTCCTAAAGGTGTTTAGTTTTGACCTTCTACAATGGTGGGTCTACCCTGCTCCCCGCTTACATACTCTCATGGTTAAACTCTCAAATCAGCACCTCCTTCTCTCTCCACCCAGCTGGCCCGATACAAAAGCACCAAATGAGAATGAATAATCAAAGCACCCCCGGGGCTGCAGCAACCTCTCAGAAACCTCCATCTGGCTCCAGATACAAAGCCCTTCACTGGCGTCTGCAGCAGGAAGCTGTTTCTTTCAAGTGGCCTTCCCAGGACAAGGAGACCTGTTCCACCAGCCCCTCCTTGGTCCTCAGCCCCAACCTCTGGTCCAGGCCACCACTGTGCTTGGTCCCTTGCAAATGGGCCTGGTGGCAGCTCTTTGTCCAGACCCTCTCTAGCCTGTCTCAGGGGACTCCAACTTCTCAAATCTGCCCCAAGCAGCCCCCCAGGAACTCTGCTCCTCATCACCAGAGTGGGCCTGAGGAAGGTGAGCAGGTGTCAGGTGGAGAAGGGGGTTCATCCTACTTGGGGAACTCCAGGGAGAGGGACAGGATGGCATTCAGGTTGGGGCAAGTGTGAGTCGAATTTACACTTGACTTAAGGATGGGTTGCGGCCTGAGTTTTTGGTTGATTCTGAGGTGCAGGTTAAGTGATGGGGTTGGAGAAAAGGTTTAATCAGGTACAGACTTAGAAGTAGAGTTAAGGTTACGAAGTAGAGTTAGGATTAATATTCGGTTACAGTTTGGTTTCAGATGTGATCCAGTGAGGATCAAGATGGCAGAGTTACTGTTGGGACCGGGAATATGCACAGTGGCCTGGGTCAGGACTGGACTGAATTAGCTGAAGGGTGATATCACCGCCAACTTCCCCTCTCACTAGCCTATGTAAATCCTGCAAAACCTAGGGTCTCTTCCTGCTTAGCCACGTGTGCTCAGGAAAGACCAACTTGCCAACGCGGTGTCAATCTGCCCATTCCCGATTCACCCCAGACAGTGGGGCCTCTTACTTTTAGTTTAGCGAGTTGGGGAATTTCAGGGTCCCTGCCCTCCAGGGGGATGCACAGCGGATACTGGCCTGGGGGAGAAGGAACGTGCCTCCTCTCGGACCCTGGGCGTCTTATGCCAGCACCCAGGACTCAGCTTACTTGGTGTTGTCAGAGTCGATTGTGTGGAAGAGATCCTCCAGTTCTTTCTCGTTGAGGACGCCATCTGCAAAGAAGAGCTGGAATTCCTCCAAGGACAACTTCCCATCATCTGCAAGGAAGAGAGGAAGGACGGAGAGCAGCTGGTGTCTGAGTGCTAGGACATCCCTAAATCCAGACAATTCCCAAACTCACAGATAAGGTCCTGGCAGCTAACCCCTGCCCGCCCAGTTAATTCCCAAACCAACAGATCAACTCCAGCCCACATAACCCTTGCCTGCTCAGCTAATTCCCAGATTAACCAGTAAACTCCAGTTCATAGAGAATCACTAACTCATCCAGCAAATTCCCAAACCAACACATAAACGCCTATTTAGAGATAATCCCCAAATCAACAAGTACAACACGAAGTATTATAGCTAGTCTGCTGGGGCTCACGCTGCATACAGTTAACAAGCTGAGAGCACCTGCCCCCTGTCTGGCAATCTTCTCACATCTGATTCACCTGGGGGAATTCGCGTGACCACCTGGGGGGAGGAACTATTTACGTAGTACCACACCTGTCAGAGGTTAGGTCCAAAGCCAGGCAGTCTGATGACCATTCTCTTTTGCTTCCAAATGCCCAGATAATCCCCCCACTTTTGAATTATCTCCAAAGTGAGCAACCCGGGTTCTGACTTTGGGAGAGAGAGTGACCCCTCTCTACTCTGTCCCATCCACTTGGCAAACTTTGGGCCCAAATCTTTGCATGGTCTGACATGACGGCTGCCAACAGTTGGCATAGAGTTCTCACCATGCCACAGATATGGCCATCAAGATGCCAAACCACTAGGAAAGAAGGTACCTGTCCCGGGCCAACAGTGGCCAGCCCTCCTAAGGGCTGGGGGCTGTGGTTCTAGGATGGGGATAAGGAGGGAGTGTGGCTCTGGAAGAGGGGCCCCACAGCTGATGCATGCCACCTGTCTCCCCCACTTCCCTCCCTTTGTCTCACCTTTTCTCCCCCTACTTGCAGTTGCCCCGGCACCAGCACTGCTGCGGAAGCTCTTACCGGCGGGGGCAGGGGGGCCACTGAGGGAGGGGCTCAGTTTTCAAGCTTCCGCCCTCAGCTCCTTCCACCTGCGCAGCTGCTCGGCAAACTCCTGCAAGCTGATCCCCAACCCTCTGCAGCCACCACGCCCTCCTCAAGGATCTTAGTTTCCTGCTCCTCCTTACAGGGAGGGAAGCAGATGGGAGGCAGTGGAGATTCGGGAGAAGGGCCAGCCCAGGGCATTTCACAGCCCCACAGCCCCTCTATGCAGACCCCCTTCCACTATTTCCAGCCAGCCTGTAATCAAAGCCCCTGTGAGTCCACATGGCACCTCCATGTGGATTAGAAACAGATGAGCCTTCCTGGCGGCGGTGGTGGTGGGGACGTCGCCCAGCGTCAGGACGCATGGGCTAGGAGCAGAGTGCACACGGGATCTGAGGCTCTCAATTTCCTCAGGTAGGTGCCCTTGTGCAGGGCACCACTCGCCTAACCATTCGTGGCTGATCTACTTGAGCCCAGAGTCAAAGTCACGCTTACGTTTTAAAGGCTCTGGAGTGTCCATCTCTGCTCCCAGCAGCTCTGCGGGAGCTCAGAGGAGGGCAAAAGGACAAGCTCAGGAGAGGGAGGGAGACCCTCACCCCCTCCACCTGTCTTCTCTGAGGCTCCATCAGCCATAAAGTATCAGGGGCTGGGAGAGGAAGATTACTAACACATGAGCATGGGCATGTACGTGGCGGGTTAGGGGCAACATCCCAGGATGCCTCCAACGTCCTGGCCCGGGTTTCAGTGTCGCAGAGGGAGAATACATTTGTAAATTTCAAGAACAAGAGTCCTTTTAGTACATACACACAAAAACCCCAGAAACAAAGCCTGAAAAGTGCATGATACCAGCTGTGAAATATGTAAACTCTTAAGTTGTGGCGCTGTATTCTGTGCAAGCGGGGACTTTCCAAGTTCCCTTTGGCAAGACTGGTGATAAAAACCAGAAACCACGATGCAGAGTCATGGCAGACACAGGTTCACCACACCTTACGGCACAGGTATGACCCTCACCCCCATTTTACAGAGCAGTCAACTGAGGCACGGAGCGGTGCAAAGGACTTGCCCAGGCCCCACAGCTGGAGCTTGAACCCAGGCCATCTGGCTCCTGAGTCCACTATGCTCTCAACCCAACCTGGGGCAGGGTCTTGTGTCAAGACCCCCAGCTATAGGGCTGCAAGGAAAAGCTGAGGCCAAGTCCAGACTCAGTGGACATGTTTGATTGATTAGTCATGTCTGCCATGGGCAGCGCTAAGGAGTCTCCCTGTCCCCACTTCCTCCAGCCTGTCTGGGTATCCCTGTCCCGTCTGCACTCAGGAGAGCAGGCAGGGAGAGGCCCACCAGGCCTCCTGAGCACAAAGCCTTCCTGGCTGACATTTACCTTGACTGTCCCACCACAGACCTAATGAACCCCGATCAGCTAATGAGGGAAGCAACCTCGCCACCCAGGCCCCTGCCCAATTAGACCAGAGAGCATGGCGCCTCCACTTCCCGCAAGGACCCCGCGTGGGCCATTTGCAGGTGGCTTCTCTAATTAGCATGAGCTCAGCCTCACAGTCGTCCTCGCAGTGACCTTTCAAATGCCAGAAGGCTGCTAGTGTCTGCATCCCCAGAGAGAAGTGCAGTCTGCCACCCCTCCACCAGCCACCACCCTCTGGATTTCATAACTCGGGCTGCCAGGCAGGACCCTCACTTAGCTGCCCCACGGGAGCCATGCCCCGTCTCCACCTCTGTGAAGAAGTCTCTGTCCTAGAAGCCATGCGGACGAGCCAGCCCTTGCTCCAGTACTCCTCTCAAACTCTCAGCCCAGGGCCTCGCTGGAGACCACACTCCCATCTTCTACCCGCAGGGACCTCACGCCCATGGAAGCCTGTGTTCAACAAGTGTGCATGTATGTGCGTGCCTTTGTGCGTCTCTATGTCTACACCCACACTCATCCCGACGTCCATATTACTACCATTCCCTGCCCACACAATGTTTTTAAACTGTGCTGGGCTGAATCTGAGCTCACCTGCCCCCTCCTCAACCGAATGTCTGCAGTCTGTCACGCGCTATCGCTGAGCCTTGCTTTTGTCATCTGTAATAAGGGGATGGTGCTTCCTATCCCAGTAGGAGCAGAGTGAAGACCAAATGAGAAGGTCTGTGAGAGTCTTGGTGCCTAACGGATGCCCAATGGCCGCCAGCAGCCTCCAGCAGCCGGCAGAAACCCCGTGCAGCATGGGAAAGGAACCAAACACCTGTTGACCAACCAAGGCCATTTTCCAAGGCGCTCGATACTCATCAGCTGGTGCAGGACTCACTGATTCATCACAGCATGCCAGCTCCGAGCTCCACTCTCCATCCTCACAACAGCCCTCTGAGCTGGGTGCTGGTTTCATTATCCTCACTTACAGATGAAGAAACCGAGGCCCAAGAGTTTCGTGACTGGCCTGAGGTCACCAAGCTGGGAAGTGGCTGAGAAAGGGCTTGAACCCAGGCAGTCTCTGCAGTAGAGGAGGGGGCCTCGCCCCCCCTCCAAGGGCTCCGCATCCCACACACAAATGAACCCTGGTGACAACCCCCCACGGCCATTTGGTGGCCAGTAAGACTTAAGGCCCTGAGAGGCGGAGTGGGCTCTGCCTCTGTGGGGACCACAGAAGTGAAGTCGAGGGGCCTGCAGCTGTGCTCAGGGGGCAGAAACATGGCCTTCTGATAAGGAAGATGAAAGCCCATCTGTGCCTGAATGGAGACCAGGATGTCACACACCACCCACACGGGTGCATGGAAACATACACACACACTGCAAAAGTCCCTACAAAGCACACAATCAGAAACACATGCACACACACAGTCTTGGGTACCTACAGCAACAGTTACAGAGGCACATCACTCAGATCCACAAACTCCTGCACATGAGTGTGTGTGCACACACAATACACACACACACACACGCCACATCTACTTGGGCGCACACACTCCCTGCAGCACACGTGGAGACCAGCCAGATACACGCTGCTGCACCCCAGTGCCGCACAGCCCCACTCTCATCCATGAATAAATCCATTACCTGAGGACCTACTGTGTGGTGGGTATTGGGCCCATGACAGAAACAAGCCCCAATTTCCACTTGTAAAGGCGTCACGATCTGCGGGAGGGGCCTGGCCAGCACCCAGCCATGGCCACGCAACCCCAGGCTGGCTGCATAAGGAAGATGCTAGAAAGGGGACAAGCCCCTTAACCGCATTCTAATCTCTAACACTGTTCAGGCTGTGAAACTGCCCCCATTTCTTGCCTCCCACTAAAGTCCCTGCCCCCCAGCACAACCCTCTTCTTCCCCCTTGCTCCATATGGAATTGCTCTGATTGTCCTTTGTCCCAAAAGGCCTGGGAGGAGCCATCGTCATCCCTAAGAAGGGGGGTGAGGTGGAGGGAGACCCCTGGGCACTGCCTTTCAGCCCAGGTCTGTGTATCTCCTCCCATCCCGTGAGGCCTCATATTCCACCCCCCCAACCCCACAGGGGTGAAGTTCAACAGTAATTCCCAGCAACGGGGAGGAGGGGGTGTTGGCACCTGATGCTTCGGGGAAGCTGGGGGGCCTGGAAGGCAGGTACTATCTGTTCCGCACCTTCCCCCCAGCATGGGCCTTGAGAGTCAACCGGCATTTTTTCAACAAATGAGCAAATAGATACTGAGCACTGCTTAATTCTCTCTGAAAACATCTCTCCCCGCATCTCCTCTCTGTATTTTCCCAACAACCCAGGGAAGCAGGCAGGTTAAGTGTTATCACCCCACTTTACAGATAGGGAAACTGAGGCCTGGAGAGGGAATAGGCGTTGGTTAAAGTCCATGTAGAGTCACTTTGAGCCCGAGAATAATGACTACAGTATTTACAGGAAGTTCTACTGCTTCGTTACACTTGCGAGCCTCAGGTGGGCCTCGTTAAATTTGGTTATCTTCAGGCCTTTGGCCTTCCTCCTGCAAGATGGAGCCTTTCCAAGCAGTCGGAAGTAGAGTGTCATGAATTCTTTGGCAAAATAATGTGCTTCTCACATTGTTGGGGATGCTGCGTGACGTGGGGAAAAGGGCCGGGGTCTGAGACACAGCCTCGATTGCCTTCTCGCAGCTGGGCTACCCTGGGCAAGTCAGTTAACCTCTCTGGGCCACTATGGAGTTGACTGCAGCAGGTGGCTATGAGGCGGAAGTGTACCAGGGCCTGTGAAGGGTCTATAGCAGGGTTCGGCAAACCTTTGAGATGAAAAGAGCCGCCAGGGGTCGGCAAACTGCGGCTGGCGAGCCACATGCGGCTCTTTGGGTATGTACATGTAGCTCTGAAGTAAAATTGAAAATGAAAATAAAACTATCATAGTTTCATTTATAAAATGTTTAAAGGATATTATTCACATAATGGTGATTATGTAAAAATATATTTATGGCTCTCGAATAATTTTTAAATTGTTGTGAGGGACAGGATTGGCTCTTCCAGGGGTCGGCAAACTTTTGAGACTGAACGCACCCAAAGAGCTGCATGTGGCTCGCGAACTGCAGTTTGCCGACCTCCTGGTCTAGAGTGAGGTGGGGCGGGTCCAGCCTAGCTGCATAAGGGTTAAAGCACACCAAGCATTTACCATGGGCAGGACATCTTGGCATCGCAGACATCAACTCACTGAATCCTCATGGCATCGTCACTAGGTAGGAACTATGGGAGTCTCATTGTACAGAGGGGAAACTGAGGCACAGAGCACAGCCAGGATTTCAGACTTCAGAGGCCTTCGGACTTCAGAGACCTGTACTCTAAACCTTTCAGTTCAAGGTCATCCACCCCTCACCCCTGATCTGTTCCCCTGAAGCCTCAGGATAGAAAGAGCCAGACCCTCATTCAGGGGACAGTGTGGGAGAGAAACTCACCATTTTTGTCCGCACGACGGAAAATCTGCAGAGAAGAGAGATGGGTCAAGTCAGCCCTGGGCCCGGGGAGCAGGTGCCCTCCAGCAGCTCCTGACCTGATACTGAGATTCCACTCCTCCCGAGGTAGGCCTGGGAAACAGAGCCCCCCTCTTTCTTCCTCCCTAGGGAGGAGACCCCCATCTAGCTGGGATCCAGGGGTGGGGAAGGGATGTTTCTGGCAGAGGCCCTCCGAGCTACCCTCACGGAAGCAGCCGCCCACTCTCCCTTCTGTGCCGCCAGCCTGCCCACGGCCATGCTGACAGACACACGCACACACATGTGGACACTCTCGCTCATATCCGTCCACATATTTGGGGGTGCACTCCCAGAGCCATTGGTCCATGGGCTTCACCCAGTTGTACCCTCAGTTACACACTGAGAATTTGTGTCCCATGGACACAGCCACATGCCTTACACCACTGCACCCCTCCCAGAACCCCTCGAGGGCCCTGGTTTTCTGTAGGGAGACTGGGTTAAGTCTGCATGGAGGTGTCTGCTAAGGGAACCTGGAGGTTTGGCAACTGGATCAGCCGCGGGCAGGGCTAGATTTTTTAGGGGGTCGGGGAGTGGAAAGCAGGTCTTCAGGAGCTCAGAAAACCAGTAGCTGCGTCAGGCAGGGATGGGGGTGAGTGGGGTGGGAATAGGCCCTGCCCCCACTCCCCAACCCCAGCCTGAGCTTAGAGACCAAAGTAGCTCCTCCTGGTATTCTCGGACTCCTTAAGCCGTGCTGATGGAAACAGGACGGGAGGCACCACCACCTCTGACCATTCCACCTCTGGTTCCCCCCTCCCCGCCCCCTCCTCCCAACACACACACACATCCCTCCAAGCAGTGGGGCAGGCATCCATTATCAGGCACCTGGGGCTGTGACAAGCCAAAGCAGCAGCTGGGGATGCCTTCTTCGACATCACCCCCTCCCTTAGCTGAACCCTGAGTCTGGGGTACTGGGCAGGAGCCATGGTGGCTGGGGCAGAAAGGGGAGCAGTTATCAGAGCACCCGAGGACCTCCTCAAAGCCCCAGTCTAGGCACCCCACCCTCAGGTGTGTGCTCTGGGCCTGCGAATGACACAGCCACATGTATGGCTCCCATGAAAACTAAGTCCCCACCTGTGCTTGTCACCCCATTTCACAGATGAGGAAATGGAGGCTCCGAGCCCTCACGCAGCACTCGAGGACCGTGGAGCCCCCCTCCTGTACTGTTAGAGGGGAGAAGCAGGCGGGATCTGGACAGGGAGGTCTTCCCTACAAGGGCAGGCCTAGGTCTGCAGACCCTGCGGGCCAGGGCTTTCAGCAGGGAGCTCTGCTGGGGTCTTGAGAGAGAGGGTCCATTGTGTGTTCGGCTGTGTATGCGTGAGTGTGTGTTTGGAGGTGCCAGAACCTCCAACACTTCCAGCACTGCTCTACCTTCCCTGCCCAGCACTCTCTGCCCAAAGCCAGCTATGGGTTCCAGGAGAGAAGGAAAGAGGGAATCCAGGCTCCCCCACACTCACAGGGATATGCTACATACACACACACCCACACACACACACCTCTCCCAGAAACCCATCATGAACATTGGAGGCACCCCCATCTCCCGGCCACCCACCACACTGGGACATGCACATCTGGTCATCATGCTGTCACAGGGCAGAGGGAAGAAAGCCCCTCCACCTTCTCCTAGCACTCCACAGGAGTCCTCTACTCCATGCCATCCACCCTGAAATCTCCCTCCCACTTGGGGAGTGGGCAGGAGGGTGAGGTGGGCTTCCCAGAGGTGGGCGGTTTGGTTTGCAGAGAGGATGAGGGAGGGGGCGAGTGGAGGGAGGGTGAGGGTGCCGAAGGGAATGGAGGACAGAGAGGGCTCAGGATGGAGTGGGGGTGGTGATGTGGGAGCCCAGAGGGGTTCAGGCTTAGGGCGGATGGGAAGGAGAGGGAAAGACAGAGAGGGAAAGACAGAGAGGGGGTGGCAGGGAGAAAAGGGTCTTTGGTTAGGGATGAGAATACAAGGGCTCAGAGTCTAAGGAGAAGGAGAAAGGTGGTCTCAGCAAATAGTAACTCAGGCAGGGACACGGGATGGCGGAGGCCTGAGTAGTCAGGGGCTCCTGTCCTGGGAAGGGATGAGGGTAAGAGGATGAGGTGCAGGGCTGGGGAAAGATGGGGGTTTGGCCAGGACAAAAGTGGGGGGCGGTGGCCGGGCCGAGGGGGCTCCAGGGTCCCGGCT